TTTCTCTGCACATTTAGGCTCCAGCCGTATGGACTCTTACTCGGGACTTAAGCCCCACTGAACAGAACGTAACCAGGCAAAAGCCTTCGCTGTGAGCTGGAAAGTGGAAAAATGAACTGGGGCTAAGAGATCTGCCTTCTGTGCTTTTGAAATAGTAACACACACTTCTGGTTCTTACAGTGCAATCCTAAGCATGTTTACTAAGGAGTAAGTCCCAGGGACCCGGGTGGCACTGTGGGTAAAAGCCTCAGCGCCTAGGACTTGCCGATCGAAAGGTCGGCAGTTCGAATCCCCGCGGCGGGGTGCGCTCCCGTCGCTCGGTCCCAGCGCCTGCCAACCTAGCAGTTCAAAAGCACCCCCAGGTGCAAGTAGATAAATAGGGACCGCTTACTAGCGGGAAGGTAAACGGCGTTCCGTGTGCTGCGCTGGCTCGCCAGATGCAGCTTGTCACGCTGGCCACGTGACCCGGAAGTGTCTGCGGACAGCGCTGGCTCCCAGCCTCTAGAGTGAGATGAGCGCACAACCCTAGAGTCTGTCAAGACTGGCCCGTACGGGCAGGGGTACCTTTACCTTTACCTTTAAGTCCCAGGTAAATGTGTATAGTATGGCTTTCTTGTCTTCTCAGATTAACAACATGGCTAAAAGCAGGGGTAAGACACATGAGAATAAAATATGGTTATTTTTTGTGGAAGAGGTTCATTTGCCTTTTCTTGTTTATTGAAAATTCTATTTGGTTTATATTTCATTTGTTCAAATTGCATTAGTTTTGAGTTCCATGAATTAGCATTTCATCTTAATATTAAGATGAGCGTTTCTTCGCTAATTTCCCTTTTCAAAGGAAAATTGCTGCTCATGGACATTATATTCACACTTTAGTATATGTATTTTGCCAGAAGAAAGTGCCAGTTTTGAAGAATGGGTGTGTTTAGGGTCATGCATTGTTTCAGAAAGGGCAAATGAGGTAGATTCATGTTTAGATGTGAACTGAATTGAATTTCTAACCCAACCACCCCAATTTTCACTGGCTCTTTAATTACATCTGTTGAGAGCACAGAATGAGCTGTTGGTTTACCTAGATGGCAATGGTGGCTGGACAGAACGTTGCTGCAGATCTCTCCCTCTTTCATGCCAGCTGAGCAAACATGTTCTTAAAAAAAAACCCCTGTACTATTTGACTTGTCCTAAATTCAGGGACATATTAGACATGACCTACCCAGAGTCACAAAAGTCATGACATTGTTTAGTAAATCTGTATAGCCGTCTTTCTTGACAAGTTCAGAATCTCTTAGAAAGCTTACAGTTCCTGCTCATGCTGCCTTGCATTAAGTGTGGAAGTTTGCCAGCTTATAAACCAATGCAACCCATCTCAGTTTTTTTAAAAAAATAAATCTTTCTTTCAACAGAGAACACAACAGGGTAAAAACTCTGTATAAGAAATAGGTGTAGTTTTAAGGGCATGTATTATTCATACTTCCCCTGGAGTATTCATTAAGGAACAGAAAGAGTTAAAGGCACAGCAATCAGATCGCTTGGAAAAATAGTTGTTTCTAGATCATTCTGAAGGTTTAAAAAAGAAGAAGGGATGTGAGCCAATGCATACAGCTGCAATCTCAGGAAAAGCAGCAGGAAACCATTTGATTCAATACAGGCTCACATGTTCTCACCACAGTGACTCAGCAAAAGTGGCCTCAAGACTGGAACAGCTTACTCAGCAAGTGTGGCGAGGCAAGCAAAGCCTACCATGACACAGCAAGATGTAGAGACAGATGCATGACTTGGAAGGTTCTTGAGAGGGTTAGTCAGCACAATTCAGACCATTAGCTCTTTCTCTGTACATTGTGCTGTTGTTTTGTAGCTGGAACTCATAATGCAGAAAATATGGCTGAAGGGCTCCTCCAGATTGATGTGGGTTTTTTATGGGTCAGTAAAAAGGGACAGCAAATAGGAAGAGTTGGAACATGGGGATGAGTAGCAGAGCATCCATTTGTCCTAACTCTTTATTCCCCCGCCCCGACACTAATCCTGTACAATACATAAGGATCATGTTGTTACACCTCCCCTCTGGAGGAATCTTCTTTGGAAGTTGACTTGGAGCTCCTCAAGGCAGACAGCACAGAGGAGCAACCTGTGTCAAAGGGATTGTGAGGCACAGCAGGGGAATCGGGGACTTCAGGGGTCACAGCAGCTCAACCTCTTCCTCAAGACAAAGATAACCCCTTCACAGAATCAGCAGCAGAAGCTGAACAGCTGTCAAATCCTAACGAGCACAGGCACTTAAAGGTGAAGTCTCAGCCAGACACTAGAAGACCAAGTGTGTGCCTGAGGAGCAAGTCCTCCAGAGTAAATATATATGTAAGCTTCACAGGTAAGATGAAATATGCAAGCCACACAGGTATCTTGTGTGTTCTGGGTGAAGCCTTGGAAGGTCAGGTTTCAAAGTCTTCTTCTTCCAGGCTCAGAGTGGTGGAACAACATCTCTGCACCTTGCCACCTTGATAGTCACTAGACCACCCCTTGTTTGGACCGTGGACTGTAAGAACATAAGATGAGCCCTGCAGGGTTAGGCCAATGGCCCATCTAGCTGCGCACCTTGAGGTTTGGTCAACTCTTAGCTGTGCACCTTGAGGTTTGGTCAACTAATCTTGGGCCATCATGAAATAATGACCCAGTTCTATGTGGATCATACAAGAGAGGAGGGGAAATGACCTTCCTGTGGGTTAAAAACGGTCATGTGAACTCAGCCCTAAGGGTTCCATTGGCAAAAATAAGAAGAGGAAATCATTTCCGCTACAAGCAGCAGTTATGTGAAAACACAAGGGAATATACTGATGGACATATCACAAAAGTTGATACTATCAGCAGTTTCTATTGAGTTCCAGTTCCCCATAGATATTCCCAGCACTTCTAACAGTGGCAGACCATGGCAACTCAGATGTCAGTGGCACTCTGTGCGGCCTTTCATTGGAGTAATAGTGGCAGAGCCTGCTCCGGCGTCCCAGAAATTCCATGCCCAGTACGATTGCATTGGCTGCACTCCCCAAGAGATGCCTCTGCTTCTGAAAAGCTAGGAGATAAATATCCAGTATTTAGGACTGGAGCAAAATGGGTTAGTCTGGAGTGCCTAGAGTAGACTGTTCCACTTTAGACTGCAGGGGAGGGAAGTCATAAGGCCTGAAGTCTGAAATGGTGTAGACCATTCAACTCTTTTCAGATTGTACCACCTCATTCTCTTGCATATGTAGGTAACGGCAAAGGACCCTTGTATGTTTAAGTCCAGTCAAAGGCAACTATGGGGTGCGGCGCTCATCTTGCTTTTCAGGCCGAGGGAGCCGACGTTTGTCCATAGATAGCTTTCCGGGTCATGTGGCCAGCACGACTAAACCTCTACTAGCACACGGAGGACTGTGACAAGTGCCAGAGCACATGGAAACCTTCCCTCCACAGTGGTACCTATTTATCTACTTGCACTGGTATGCTTTTGAACTGCTAGAAGCTGGGACAGAGCAACAGGAGCTCACCCCGTTGTGGGGATGTGAACCGCCGACCTTCTGACTGGCAAGCCCAAGAGGCTCAGTGGTTTAGACTACAGCATATGTAGAAGAGATTGAGATTGAATGAAATGCGTAACAACTGGATGGAGGGAATAAATCAGAAAGAGCAGCAAACCAAAATAGAATAGGCTTGTCCCTGTCATTCGCATGTAAAATTTCTTAAGAGAAAAGGTCATTTGAATTGGGGAAGTTCTGATTTCTCAACTAAAGCTGTTGTGTCTCTACTTGTCTATTATATCTCTGAGAAGCCAGAAAATCAAAGGTTTTAGAAAAAAGGTCTTGGAAACCAGGATTTTTATTTTATTTTAAATCACAGTTCTGTGGAATGCTCTTCTTGGGAAGACATGTCTGACACCTCTGTGGTCAGTCTTTACATGCCAGGCTAAGACCTTTAGGCTTCCCCAGGTCTTCAATGTTGCCTCTTACGCTGGTTGCCACCTTTTAAGTTGGGTGTGTGCGCAGGACCCCCTCCCCCCCTCTGCTCACTGCTTTCCCCATTAGTCACTCTGAGCCAGAGGGGAGAGGTGTGATTTTGTGCCCTCTGACACACCCCTGCCCTCACTCAGGCCCATGAGAGTTTTATGTATTTTGTACTGTTACTGTTTGTTGTACAAACCATGAGATAACCATGAGTTATATCCCATAAACAAACCATGGCTTCTCTCCAAAATTTGGTTTTTTCTCCAGCTGCTAGTCTTTGGTGGGTGTCTGGGGTGGGGTGTCTGGACAAAGCACAGCAAAGGAAGGATGCTGGGTTCACATGTATCATGAAGCCATAGTTAAAACAAACTAAAGCTCGCAAGCCACCAATGAGCCATGGCTTTTTATCATGGTTTGTTGCCAGTAAACGAAGCACAGTTAAACCACTAGGCACGTAACACTAAGTTATGATTTAATGAACCATGGTTTAGCATTGTGTGTGAACCGGACCATTGGATACAGCAGCAGCAGTTCTATTGACCCTGTAACAACACATCTCTGGCGCCAGAACAATGCAAGTATAGAATTGCTTTGCCCAATGTTTACAGAATCATAGAATTGTAGAGTTGGAAAGTAGCCCAACATTGGCACATCAACATTTAGGGTGAAACTTAACCGCCTTTTCATATTTTTCCAATTACTGTAATCATATATTTGTACCCGAAGTATTAAATGCAAAGCTCCTAAAGGATTGCCCCTTATGTGAACGCAGCCAGTGTTGCAAAACTGTAGTTACCCTCAAAATAATGAGCCAGCTTTGCTGTATTATAAAATTGCTTAATATTTTAAAATGACATTTGCAGTTTTGCTTCTGCTTTCTGAAATTTGTGCTGTGACACGTCAAGCATTCTCAGCAGTCAAATAGGGTACTGCTGCCTCTGTTTTCTGGTAGAGCTCTTGTACCTTCACAAATTCTTTACAAGGCAGAAATAACATAGGAGCTGTTTTCCTCAGCTTGGAGAAGTAGTCTTAAACATTTTTAGAACATAAAAATCCTGCAATAGCTTGCCTGAAACGCAAAATAGGCACACGATCATATGCAAGGTAATCCATAAGAGGAGGAAGACAAAGAACTGCAAGGATTTGTCCAAGAACAGTAGGCTGCTCTGTGCATAGTACAGCTCTGCTGACCTCTGCTGGCCTGTTTATTTTGGACGCAAGCTCTTTTACATGGACAAAGGGCAAGATTTCTGCATAGAGAAAAAGTGCAAAACTTTTAAGTCTGTCACAAGAAGTGGCAGTCTTACCCGGATGTATTTCCCAGCACTTATGCAAGAGGATAGGTTGCGATTGGCCATTATCTCTTAGCATATAGTGGCATGCCTACATGTAGTGAAATAATGTGTAACTTTATGTACACTCTGTACACTGATTTATTGGGTTTCCAGCTCTAAGCAGAAGTACTTTTTTGTGTGAGAAAAGTATAAAAGGGTGAAGCTGCTGCCTATGAACATTGGCTTCCTGAGCCCTGAGCCCCTGGCGATGGTGCCTGGTTGAATGGCTTAGTGGAAGACAATTTCCTAGAGCCATTTTAAGAGGCACTGTGGCTTGGCCCCTCCATCCCCACTGCAGGGAACTAGTTCAGCAGCCATGAATGGAAAGCTCTGGCTGGACAGAAATCTTATGCTCTCCAGGCCTACAATCAGGAGTAATGGCTGATGAAAATAATGGAATACACAGAGATGGCAAAACTGATAGCGGTGATAAGAGCCACAAGTTTAGAATCTTTCAAGGAGGACTGAAAACCTTTTCTGGTCTATCTAAAATAAAACTTCTCATATGCAAAGTCCACAGTGGGGTTTGAAGTCTAAGAAAAAAATATATAGCAGAACATATAAGAACTTTGTTTAAAAGGATGAAACTGGGTATGATGGAATTTTAAAAACACCATTGCATGTAATTGCAATTATAAACACTGAGGTTGGGTGAGTGGGAATTCACTGATGTTGTAGAATAGGATTATAACTGTTGAATGATGAAGTGTAACTTTGAAATGAAATAAAATATTAAAAGTGTGAGAGAGAGAGTAATTATTTTTAGTTTGGATGTGATGGCTCTAGTAGTAAATACCAGCAAGAGCACCATTGTTCCTTTCCTTCCACTGCCTTCCCAGATAGGACTCTGTTGAGGATGCAGAGCCACCATCTCTTGCTCAGAAGCCCAAAATCTTCTCCTGCTCCTCCTCTTCCCCATCTTGCAAGGTGGCATTTTATGCCAGGATGCAAGGCCCACACTTCAGTGAAAGCACGCACATCTCTAGTGAAGTCAAATATTGTCTTTAATAAGGAATATAAAAGGCAAGTCTCCCAGTTACATGGAATAATTCGGTATTTCACCCCAACAAGCTCCACCCATTAACACAGTGAACGCTGTTTCCTCGGTGTGTTTTCTGATAATGCACAAAAAGTGTCCAGCCTTTGCAGCAAAGAGGAATAATTTGTGAGGAGGAGCTCTAAGGGAAGGTTATGGCAGGGATAGAGAGATCATGATCAATGGGGGCCGTATGAATTAATTTCAGATGAGAGGCTGCCTCCTGGATGTTCCTGTTTAGGAGGCAGGAAGAACCCAGTTTTAGAAGGATTTGGTACCACTGAGAAGACATATGCCTCCTTCCCTGTGGTGCTTCATGAGACAGGTACCTGGACTGGCTACAGTGAACTTGGGTGTTCTCAAAGCAGTCCTTATACAACAGGCAGTGTTGTAACAGAGGCCCGCTGGGGTTGTTACCCTACTCCCAACAGTGTTCTCTGGTCATTACAAAGGGTTTCCATCATTCCTGCTCAGCCAGGGGAGGGCAAAGGATGGAAAAGACACAGACCAGAGGGGAGCTGCTCGGTTTTACAATGCAGTGCAGCTGCCTGTAGGGCTGGTAAGAAACTACAGATCCCACTACTGATTTCCAGCATGGCTTCTTAATAGTCTCTTCATCAGGAAAGGAACAACGAAACTGTCTTGCCCACAAAGGAGGAAACCCAAGCCCGTCGACTCACCAGGCGGCGACCCATTTGGCAGCTCTGCAAACCCTTCCCGCTTGTTTCTCTCTTGCGCCCCCAAATGCAGCGATGATTAATCTAACCCCAAAGCAGCCTAGAAAAGGAGGCAGGAGGAGAGGAAAGGGGTGGTGGGGGAAAGGTGTCTCTTCCCCAATGCACTCTCCTTTTGCTTCCCTCCTCTCCTACCCCAAGAAAGAGGAGTGCAGTGCAGCACACAGGTCCTCTTGAAACCACAGCACACCAGTCCACAGTAGGGTTCATAAAGCAAACATCGCCTCCTCTTCTTTGTCCTTCTTCCGCGGAGGGCCAGAGCTGCTGTTGGAGGAAGGAGCCCCAGTTGGGGGACTGGGAAGCGTAGGCAGCCGTTCTGCCACTTTTGCTCGCTCTTCCAGGAACTTGTCAAACTCTGGCAAGGAAGAAAAAAGGGAGAATGAGGAATCAAATCAAGAGTTGGAAAAGCCCCGAGCATTGCTTCTTATGTAATCGTTTCCATGGACTGGACACATCTATAATTCCAGATATATTTGGAGATTGATAGTTCACATTCACTGTTCAGGGGTGCCAATTATAAACACAACGCCTTCATGCAGGACATTCTACATGATTAAACATGGGAGCGATACATCCCAACAGACCTGTGCAAGGAGAGCCCCATTTTGGGATTTTTCAAAAATCCCAAAGATTGAGAAGCCATTTGCACAGATTGCTCATTCATAGAAAATGTTTTTTATATATATATAAAAATGCGTAGACATGGAATCAATCAGCAAACAACATCCCATGCCTGCAAGAATTCATTGGAAACGTAACCCTCAAAGGCAGGGCACAGGGTCTGCTAGCAACTTGCCTTCGCTGGTGACACCCTTTGGATCCACCGTGTCGTTTCCCTGAGAAAAGAGAACACAAGAAAGTGTGGAAATTATGGCAGATCAAATGAAAGTGTGCAGGGCTTAATTACATGGACAGAAAATCCAATTTTTATTGGGACAGGGACCTAGTGTGTGCTTACTCACCTTGGTTTCCATCACCCATACCAGTAGAAACAGACAGCATTTTAAGGCAGAAACAGGATGACATGTGGATACCAAAAGTCTACTTCCCCAAACTACCATTTTAGTCAAACAACAGTCATTGTGTTTCAGAAAGGATGAAATGCAGAGAAATTAGTTCTACACCAACATCAGAACAGACAAGACAGTGGAAAAAGCAGACCCTGTTTTAGCCAGTAAGTGAGGAGGCTGATTCGCACAACTAACTTTCCTGTGGCAGGCAGCTTCAGCTATGTTTGGCCTGCATTTTGTTCATGGCAGACTAGTTATTTGAGAATTGAAACTCAGGTCATGTATGGCATTTACGATGATGTAATCCTGGACTGGGGTGTGTGGAAATGAAATGACCCACGGCACATAGTGTGGCAATGCAAACCACACCTTAGCTCAATATACTGCAAGCAGCAAGTGCTTATAGTAGTTTGCAAAGTAGTAAGAATGGGAAGGGGCATTAGAAGCAAAGGAAACTGCATAATGACATGCCAGACCACTGATGCATGGAGCTCAGTGAAGTTGGCCGCAGAGGCAGGCAATGTAGTGTCTTCCAGATGTTATTGGACTCCAACTCCCATCAGTGTGGGCAATGATCAGAGATGATGTGAGTTTGAAGCAACATCTGGAGGGTATCACACTGGCTATTCCTGCAAAAGGGTTTCCGATAGGCATCTTCCAGCCCTACATGGAGATGCCAGGGATGTGAAACTGTGACCTTCTGATGTGCTTTACCCCTGAGCTAGGACCCCAACTCCAGAGACAGAACACCCAAAGGCTGATTCTAGGTAGCTCTGCTGAGCATCTATTACAGATATTTAAAAATAGAAAACTGCCTCATACCATGTCAGACCACTGGTCCATTTAACTCAGTACTGTAGATACTGACTGGTGGCAGCTCTTTGGGGTTTTAGGCTCTACCACTCACCTAATAACTACGTTCATAATCAGCCATCACTAATAAGTAAGTGCTTTGGCTACGTTACTTACCACATCAGTAGAGAGCCACTGCTCAATATCTTCCATGATGGCAGCTTGGGGGACAGGAACCTGGCAGAGAAAGAGAAAACAACAAAGAAAGGAATGAAGGGAATGAAACCCATCCTTGCAAAAATGCTCTCTTAACTGACATCCGCTTATTTTACTCAGCACTGTTTTTAGGACCAGTATCTGATGGGCATCCATTTCTTAGCTAATTCCAACATCACTTGAGAATGGTTAGATGATTCTCAGGTTCACCTTTCAAATGGCCTAGGCCTACACCTGACCACGAATGACACTGATAAACAGCTACGTCACGGACTGGGTCTCATGGGTGATATCAATTAAGTAGTAGTTTCAGAAGTGACCCTCAAAGATGGCAAAGTTGTTCAGCCACAAGATCTATTGTGCGTACATAGTATTATCCAATATTATGCTGCCTTGGGCAACTTTGGGGGAAAGGGCAGGATATAAATAAAATAAAATCAATTGGGAAGCCCTAGCTGATTTTTAGTCTTTATTAACACAACATGAAAAAAGTTCTTATTTTGATTCGTAGCATGAAACATTGTGAAGGGGCAAGCATTTTTTAAATCCAGGATTAGATTTTGGTGAATTGTGACAAGCTGCCTCTCACAAGCTGCAATGTATTCCAGTGAACTTCAAATACCACAGAGCAAACTCCCTGTAGCCATGGCATTTCAAAAATATCAATATTGCAGTCTTTTGCATTCCTGGTCAATTCAGGACACACCATCCTGTTTTTCAAGCTTTCCTCCATAAATCAAAGAGGATTGGAAACTTCTGATTTTATTGAATGGAAGCAGCAAATTTGCACATGCTGAACCACATTCCAGTGACACAGGAAAGTGCCTCAGTGGATTTAACATTTTTCCACCACTTCCTGATGTTAATGCCACTCAATGCTCTCTCTACCGCCACTGAAACAGGTACAGTGGTACCTCGCAAGACGAATGCCTCGCAAGACAAAAAACTCGCTAGACGAAAGGGTTTTTTGTTTTTTGAGCTGCTTCGCAAGACGATTTCCCCTATGGGCTTGCTTCGCAAGATGGAAACATCTTGCAAGTTTGTTTCCTTTTTCTTAACACCGTTAATACAGTTGCGACTTGACTTCGAGGAGCAACTCATAGAACGCCGTTTTTGAGGTTTTTAAAGACTTTGGTGATTTTTGAAGCTTTTCCAAAACTTTCCCGACACCGTGCTTCGCAAGACAAAAAAATTGCAAGACGACAAAACTCGCGGAACGAATTAATTTCGTCTTGCGAGGCACCACTGTACATGATTATTAGTCAATTGGGATGTGGCATGTCAGATCTGCTAAGGATTCTTCATTCACTTTCTCTCACTCTTCCTGTTCTTAAAGGGTCTGTTTCACTTTAAAGTAAAATTCAGTGAGATTGTTAAATGCAACGCTATCTGGACCCCACCCTTCATATTGTTACTTTAGAAAATTGCTATGTTTACACCTCCAATTTGGAGCACATCTTGGGTCTGGTGGTAAGCCCAGAATTGGTGGACTGGCCTGCAGGGTCCACCTGGCCTATCTGTGAACTCCTGGCTGTCTTCAGTGGATGGCATGCATTGGAGGTCGCCTTCCTGCATGTCTGCATCTTGGGTACTTGAATGCGCCTGCCCATCTCCAGCATGCCACCTTCAAGTTGCTTAAAACAATTTCGTGGAAGATAATCTCTGTTTGAGACCAAGAGCAGCTAATGGCCATGACCTTCATATGCTCTGCTTGTGAACTGTCAGCGGCAGGCGTCTAGTTATGGCTGGAACCAAATGCTGGATTATCACTTTATGGACCCTGGTGGGACCCAGGAAAGCATCTCATACAATCTTAACACCCATGGAAACATAAGGCCATGCTAAGACTATTGGACTTAGCTGAGAGGGTGAAGTTGACATGTGCAATTAAGAGAAAAATCATTGTATATATTTACTAAAGATTGGAAACTCCTTTGCATGAAAAAGAATTGACGTGGATTTGCATGAGGATTGAAGAAATTATTGGTTTATAGAAAGAGGAATTGTGGGGTGTTATCCTGGAGTGGATGTCTTGAATATTTTTCTATATATAGCTGACAGATGAAGAATTGGAAGTTCTATTCTTTTTTTCCCCCTCTTCCTCCCCCAGCCTTTTTTCTTTCTTTTCTTTTCAATCTACTTTTGGATTGTGTTTTTATTTAGATTAGTTTCTTGGCTATTTGATATTAACCATTGTATACTTCTGATCAAACTTTAATAAAATCTATTGAAAAGAAGAAAAAGAAGGCCATGCATAAATTCTTTGGTATTTTAGGTGAAGAGCTGAGCTATTGCTACTGAGCATATAACCTGCATATGCAGTCTAACAGAATTCTGTCTTCATCCTAAACAGAAGGGAAGAGCCTGCGTGATAACACTGGATTGTCTGGAATTATACTGTAATTCCAGGAAATGAGGAAGAGGTAGGTATGGCAAGGAGAAAGGCTTACTTCCTACAACGATTCCTTCCAAAATTGGACCCTGTGCTAACCCAAGTTATGGGAAACTGCTTAAGGTGAAAAAAGTGACCTCCATATCAGTGAATTTTCAAAAGTAAGGTTTTCCCTTTCACTGTGAAGAACTTCTTCTCCCCCGCCCTTGTCAGCAATTAGATGATCTCCCAAATTCACAGATCCTTAAATGCAATAAGGAATTTCTGCTTAAAAGAGAGAAAGCGTGCAAGAGCACAGAAGAGAACGACTAGTAATTCCCATAGGTTACCTTAAGCAGAATTAAAAGCAAGCAGTTTCTTGCTATTATGTGTAGGAAAATTTGCTTCCAAATCAAAGAAAAAGTGTAAAAGCAAAATGTCAGACTCCATCTCACCCAAGAAAGAAAAGATCCCTTTAAAGCCATTTCTCAAGAGCCTGAGCTATTCTTGCCTAACCTTCTTTCCTCTGCCAAGGTAAAAGCTCTCCATCAGACTGGTTAGCATAACTGGAGATGTGCTGAGGTTTGAGGTAGAGCAGCACAATTTAAGAAAATGAAACCAATATCTCCTTTATCCCTAGAAGAGCTTTCCAAGACAGGGGGAAGACAGGCATACACAAGCCAGTTGGTACAGTGTGTGGGCACACCTTGGACAAAGCATCTCAATGGGTCTTCTAATCCTGTAACCATTTCCTTCCACCGGTTCAACTGTAAATATTGAATTTGGAACCACAGAAATCAAAATGACAGACAGCCCAATACTGATCAAGTTACTAGTGTAAGTTCCCCTTGAGCTGGCTCTTATTGGGTGTTGTGGAGAGAATAAGCGAAAGTGGCAGAAACCTGAAAGGGTTGTTAAGCATTGTTGTTGAGCTTTTTAGGGGAGACCTCCCCCCAAAATAGTGATGTTAAGCTTTTGGACCTGTTTCTACTGCTTTTTCATATATCCGGGTTTTCCCTTACATTTTGACGCTTGGGCAAAATTTCCCCAACGCCATTTTTATACCTGGAAGCCAGGACATGTCAGGAGTTTTCCTGACGTATGGAAAGCCTAGCCAGGCCTCTCTTTGCTTCTGGCATTCCAATATATGTCCCTATCCCAACCTGCATTGAACTGGCTTCATGTCCAGACTGCCATGTTTCAATTCTGTGTGCTCTTTTCTCAGTGCACAACAAGGAAGGCAAAGTAGAGGCACTTGTGTCAGACATAAAGCATGTGATGTACCTAAATATGCGTGCTTTAGCCCCATTCATTCTGTGTGTTGGCTCTGCCCACTTTGAGCATGCAGCCACAAACTACTTTCCTCCAAGGAAATCCCCCCTTAGAGGGGAAAATATTCTGTACCGTTGCACTATGTTGATGAGAATATAGGGCTGAAAAACGGTTCCTTGTTTTCTTACATTGTGTTAAGATTTCTCCAGTCCATGAAGCCTTGTGGACTGTGGATTTTATTACTGGGAGAGGTTGCTTGACTTCCAGCCCAGCCACATTACTTTCTCTGATGTCTGTCCTCACACACTGTTCAGCCAACACCGCACCCTTGCATAGCAGCCTCTATTTTGCTCTTCCTTGGCAGTGACACATTCTCACCATTCCTTGGCGCATCATCCAGTTTGCGATTGGGGCTCCATCAGTGGAAGCACCTGGCTCCGGCTAGTTGAGAGAGAGTTTGCTTTCAAAGCAGCTGGAAAAGGTGGGAAATGTGGGGCAGGGTAGGGAGAAATGCAGGTGCCTTCCAGGATAAAGGGCTTATGAGCTCAGAAGGGAGAGCAGCTCCCCACTACAAATTAAAGAGAGCTGGAAAATTTCTTTCCCCCTTCCCATTTTTGTTGAGAAACAAACAGAGTGTGGGAGAACCCCAAGCTGAGCTCATGGCTTATGACCACAAAGATATAGTTGCATTGCCTCTGGGGATGGAAAGGTGTACAACCCCAAACCAGTTTCTTTCCCTATGGATGGGAAGGTCTGAGTTGAAGAAGGATGGCCTGCTAGCCTTCTAACCCAGACCTTGAAAGGAAGCAGGATTTTAAAGCCTGTGTGATTGTAGTTAGTCCAACCTCATATACTTAACAATGCACTGGCCCAGGGGCTAATCCGGCTGCATTCCTTGCCAGACTGCTCCACACCCTTCTCAAGTGGCTTAATAATATCTCTTGACAGAGAGACAGAGAGACAAGAGAGAGAGGAAAGAAACCTCTAATTTTGTGTGGCTGGAATGTAGCCTACAGTATGATGGCACAAGTCATATCCTTTGGTTTGCCCATCTTTGCCTCTGGTCCCACCACTGCAAGCCCATCCCATCACTGGCTTGTGGCCCCTGGAAGGTTTCTTAGGATGGAATGCGGCCCTTGGACTGGAAAAGGCCCCCCACCTCTGTATTAGCCCCTGGGTGGGTCCCCTAGAAATTACACCTCCAACCTCTTTTTACTGTATTTTTGTGATTTTAAAATGATTATTTAGTTGCAGGTTTTTAAGGCTTTACATCTTGCATTTTGATAGCTGCTACTAACTTGTTACAGCTCAGAACCATAATACACATCAGCAGTAACTGAAAATGACTGGAGTATTACTGAATTATAATTATTTTTACTTTTTCATCTTACTGATTGAGAATTGTTTCAAAATGTTACTAGTTCTCCGTATGTACTGAATTCTTAAATAAACTGTTTGATATGCTGATGCTTGCTTGCTTGTTGTTGTTGTTTTGTGCTGTGCGATTAGGTACTTATGATTTAATAGTGTGCAGTTGCATGTTCTGCCACTACCGCTGTGGGGACAGGGGAGATATGAGTCCATGTTTAGGTGTTAATGAGATAGGAAAATACACGAAACTATGTAATTAACCTCCAAAGCTGCTCTGATGAACTGAGTGAGCAATGACCTAGGTCCTGCTCCCACTAGCTCCAGCCAGCATGGTCCATAGTCAGGAATTCTGGGAGTTGTAGTCCCCCCAAAAACCCCATACGGAGGGCACCATGGTATACATGGACCTACAGCTGATGTCTTGAGAAGGCAGGGGGCTCATCTTTTACATTGAGTGCTCATGGAATATCTTTATAGTTAGCAACTCACCGCTGCTGTGTTCTGTTGCCGGGCATCCAAGGCTCCAGCTAGTCCTTGCCTGGCCAGAGGGTCTTCATACTTCACCCTGGAAGAGAGAAACAGGTCAAAGAGGGAAAAACCAAGCGGAGAAGCTACTGAAGGTTGTGCGCTATGGCATCCTCTTTGAAACTAGATATAGAAAATGGATGTGCTTGGGGATCCTGCTTTTCCTACGTACACAGGATTGTATACATCCTTTGTCATAAGGAAGAATGACTGAAATTTGGTGAACATCAACCCACACACTCTCTCATTGACAGCAGGGCCAAGCTGGGATAATTTTTGTGAAAATGTTAATATCAAAAGGCCACTTACTAACCATTCAGCGATTTTTCAGGCTGGATGCACATGTGCTAGCAAGAGCCCTAATGGGCTAGGATAGTCTAAGTGATCATTATCTGAAGTACTGACTTATTTCTAAATGGACACTCTTTGCCCTTCGTGACATAAGCTCATAGCCCAATAGGATCAATCGCAGCACAGTGATGCCATTGGGTCTAATATGTGATGCTGATTGGTTGGAATCACTTAAGGATGGAACGAAACAGAGAAAGAAACAAAGAGCACCAGGGCAAGAGCAGGGGAGCGGTTGTGAATAGTCACAGACAGCCATGGAAAAGTTTATAGCATTATAAAAGGTTTTCAGGTTCCAGGGGGTGGAACCTAGACATTGCCTGTTTTGAAGTAGGTCTGAACCAGCGGAACATGGCTCAGTTGTACTTAGGAATCCCAACAAATGTGATTATTATTTGGCTGCCATGAGTGCTCAGATGCATGAAAGAGTAAGCAATGCAATTTAAAAACAAATAATAAACAAATCCCTGCGAAGCAGGTTAGTCTGAGAACCAGTGACTTGCCCAAAAGGATGCCCTGTGAGCATTATGGCTGAACAGTGGATTTTAGCATGGCTCATCTATATCTATACCCAAAGCTTTTGCTATTATACTACCTTAGCTCACATATGTATATATGCCTAGTTAGAGATCCCACTAAAACAGGGACAAGCCCTAAAGTTGCACCAATATTCCATGAGTCTGGGGAGAGTTTATTGTGGGTTTTGCCAACATGGCCTAGCGCTGTGAGTGTCAGCTTTGGGGCTGGTATCAAATCCAAGCTCAGCCATGAACCAAATGGTTCTAGGCAAGCCCTTTCTCTCCATCCCAACCTGTAACATAAAGAGGGGCTGCCCTCAAGGGTTCGAAGGAAGGTAAAATGATATAAGGAAATGTGTCTATCACATACCTTATACGCATACTAGGATACTCAGACCATACACAACTCCTTCATTGCTAATATACACCACACATCTAGAGTTGTGTGTAGAAGTAAGTAAGGACATATAATAATAATAATAATAATAATAATAATAATAATAATAATAATAAACATTCTGTGCCCAGACATTCCAGATTCTGGACCAAGAAAATTTCTGCACCCTATAGTGTTTAAATGAAGTACATATGCATAACTTCTCTTATTTTGTACAACAGCTGCTGTGATCTTTACAATCTTGAATGATTTAGTCTGGTATTGCTAATTATGAGCGGAGTCAAGGAAATATGAAGGACACCGAAGCTTTAACCCAACCACCTCTCCACCTCCTGAGATTTCTGCAAACATTGCCTCCATGCTTTCAAGCAGAGCTTTATAGACACAGGGACTAGAAAAGTGCCATTTATATATGAAAAGGGGGAAAAAAGAGAAAGCTAGGATTCTCAGAAAACTAAATTCTGCGCTCCTTGTCACATTCTGCACTTTTTCTACACTATTGCAGAACTGTGACATGCACATAAACCTGAATGCACTTCTGTTCTACCTAAGCACATGCCCTTAAAATAATTCTACATCCCTCCACATTTCTATTTTGTTTCGGGAGACACGGTGGGCAAACTTATGCGGTGCAGATGGGCTTGGACAGACTTAACTGCTTCTGATTAATCAGTGCATGCACAGCTACAACAAGACCTCTGCAAATATCACGACTGCCCCATTTCCTGCAAGAAATACCTTCAGTTTCAAGACCACCCTGCCCACCCTTTGTCCTCACCCTCCAATCTATGCAGATTATTTCTTACACAGGAAGGCCAAAGTTTCCTTGGACGATGACATCCCAGTGGTGAGCTCCCCCAAGCCATGTCTCTGTCCCTCCCATGGTCACCGGGAACTGTTCCCTGCTGGGGCCAAGGGGTTGGGCCACTTTTGCTCAAACTTTTCAAAAAAGAGCTCGTCCGTGAAGGGCCCGCTGTGCACAATGGCGTCAAGGATGAAGTAGAGTGCCACCACCATGCCGCTGATGAGGCAGAAGGGCAAGAAGGGCTTGAGGTGCTGCCAGAAAGTCTGCAGACAGAGGTTCATGGGGCTCTGGGAAGATGCACGAGCCAGCTGTGGTGGTTGCCCACAAAAAGGGTCTCGGTCTGGAAGCGAAGCCGCAGGAAGGGAGGGGAAAAAAAGGCACAGGAGAGCATGAGGGGCTGTAGAAGAGACAGTCCTGAGATGGCTTGCTGGCAAGAAAGTTAAAAGTAGGAGGCGGATAGTCCAGTTGGAGAAAGAGGAATAAATAGAAGGAGCCTCTTTATCGGAAAGATCACACCCGTCACAGGAGGATCAGGTTTTGCTGGAGAAGTTAACAGTGCTCAGTTCCAGGGTTGGGAGGAGAGTGGCCGGAGTGTGCGCCAAGAGGTTGGGTTTCAACATAAGATCAGCTGCTTCCAGCCTTCTCGCTCTCTGCCTTGTTTCTGCAAAAATCAACTCCACTCCGCACTCGGCAAACGGTTTGCTGAGAACAACATTCAGACAGCCTGGTACACAGGCTCACAGCATCCTTCTCCCTGAGTCTGGTGTGCTCGACTGGCTCTTTGCAAGGGCAATCTGTGAGTCAAGAATTATAAGCCCTTTCAGCGGCAGAAAGAGCTGCAGCAACAGCAATTAGAAGGATACTGGCTCCCAGCCCGGTTTGCTAAGTGTTGGGGGTGGAGTGCATTTCGTGCTCAAGCGTAACCGCACATGCCCAAAACAAACATCTGTTTCTACAATCAGCAGGGGTCACTGAAAGGCTTCTTGCAGGTTTGCATTACCGAGCCTAGGACTTTTCCCTCAGACACATCTGTGGGTTTTGGAACTACAAGGCCGAATTTGCCGAGTGCAATGGAAAAGACCAGATCTTCCACACCTAAGTCCTCTACGGAATAACCATGCTTAGCATTATATACTACTTCCTGAGCCTGCAGAGTGCTCTGCATAATTCTACCCAGTAATCCTTTAGGCAGCCAACCTGAAAGATAGGTTGCAATTATAATTAACCCCATATTGCAGATTTGGGGTGGAGGGGGAAAGGGTGGCTGTGAGAATAGTGGTTGCCCTGAAGCCAACTGTTGAATTCATGGCTGAGGTGAAATTGACCTCAGGAACTTCCTTGCAGAGTTTAGCTGAAGTGTCAGATTCATCCCATTTGTGGGAAGTAAAGGAGATGGGGAATGTTTCAAGGTAAGATCCACTCAGTAGTCACTGGCCATCAATTCCTCGTCCCCTTGATGTTCCACCATGATGTCCTGTTGCACAGGGGAAGCGTTCTGGGGAAAACATTTGATGGCCTTTCTTCCCAGAAACCCCCACAGCTCAATGGTACATCACAGTATAGCATGTCAAGAGGCTTCTGGGGGAAAAGACTGTGGCTGTCAGAAGGAACACTGACTGCTTCAGCTGTTACTGCCATGTGGTATCTGTGAAATAAGGCATAAGGATGTGAACAGAAGGATGTGAATCCTTAAAATTGTCTCCAAGTTCGGCAAAAAGTTTTCATTGGAGAACTTTTGGCCTACTCTTACATTTTGGCTCTCAAGAAATCTAGATCATTGCAACTGGGACAGCAGGAGCAAACAAGGTATGTGACTTAAGATACAGATAATGTATGGTGCAGGGGAAAGCAAACCTCATCTTTACAGGAATATTCATTCCCTGCTTTAAACCCCCCCCTCCCCACATAGATCAAGTCATTTTTGTATGTGTGAGACTTGTTTTCAAAACTAAGGAGGAAAGGGAAATTCCAAAATCTTGAAACTTTCACTCTAGGTTACCCCAGACAATTTTTTAAAATGCATTTATTTACTTAGTACCACAATAGCTATTTCCCTCTGGGGACTGTACAAGAAAATACTATAAGCAAAATATAAAAATCATATGAATTCTGTAATGGAAAGAAGCAATGCTAAGTAAAGTAGGTGCATCATAAGAAGAGGTTTGTCTCCTTTTCCAGGCTACAAGCATGGGCAACCGTAAGAAGCAAAATACAAGTACTGGGTATGGCTGGTGTTTACTCTCCTGGAGTATTATCTGCAGCACTGAAACACAGCTCTGCTCTCCATTTGGCCCACGCCGTTAACAATAAATTATCCATTTCACTGCTGCTAAAATTCCAGGAAGCCATTAGAGAATGACAACATAACAGACAAGGGGGAAATAAAAAGAGTAGTGGAGAGAGTTAAGTGCTAATGAAAACTCAAGACTGCCTTCATTAGTTCTGGTGGGGATGGACAACAGCAGCAGCAATAAACAAAACCAAAACAAACCAGTCTCCTAAAAGACCAGGGTTTTAAACAGTACAGACAGTCTGCTCTTGAACTCCACCACCAAAGAACATTCAGACTGGAAAATGAAAGATGGGTGTGACATTGGAAGAGTCACTCCTGCACCACAAGCAACCATGCAAAAGGGAAATGGAAGCTGGCGAAAGAGCAGGGACAAACATGTAGCCTTTTTCCTATCCTGAAAAACTGGGCATAAGAAGGGCTGAGCCAACACAGTTTGGAAAACAAAGTATCTAACAGCAATTCACTGGAAATAGAAACTATTTGTCCCCAAAGGGCTCTGCGCTGGCACTCAAGTCCCTAGCGGGCTGCAACTACACCTGCTGAGTACAAGCTTGTTTGTTTGGTATCTCTTATTAAACATCCTATTCATCCGACAAGCACCCTTGATTTCAGTTTCTCCTTTTCCTACTTGTGATACACTAGAATTTAGGGCTTATCGATTTCCTTAATCACATGGAAAAAATATCAAGGGGTAGAGGGCCATAGTTTCTAGCAAAACAAGTCCTGCTTTTGAAAAAATTAAATAACAATTCTGCATGACCATATTTTGCACCAAAAGCCAAATTCCTCTGTTTCTATACATTATGCAAACCTGCAAAACTTCTCTTGTTTTGAGTATGAATGAATGAACGTTCATTATTAAGCCTGAACAGCCAGCATGCAACTCTTGTATACAACACCTAATTTGCAGCAGCAGGTGCTGTCACTTACTCTTTGCGCTGATCAGCCAAGTTGCTGCCTCGGGTCAGTGCAAACATGTCAAACTCTTCCTCCAGCTTGCCAGAATTGTTGAGGGACTGCAGTCCTGCACTGACGCTGCCAGAACCCAGATCTGAAAGGTGTAAAAAGTCAAGAAGAAGGTAACATCTAACACACGTTCAGATCAACAAGGCATAATGTGATATACTAAGATACCTATCTGAAAATAGGATCACAGGGGGTTTCATTTCTTTTTGCCGGTAAGGATAATTTTATGAAGGATTGCATGCGCCACGCCTCCTCTGTAAACTGCCTCTCCCCTCCCTCCAACCCACTCACCCCAAGTGCTACTATCAGGGAAAAGTTATGAACATCTGCATACATTTGCTGGCTCGGCATGACTGATTCTGCTATCTTATATTAAATTAATTCTGAAGTTTTTAAAGCAAGGACTGAGGGAACATAAAGAAGAAAAGATACAGAAGCTAGAAGACAGGTGAGCTAGTGGCTCTCAGAATCATGGGGCTGGGGTAGGGGGCAAACAAGGAAACCACACAGCAGAAGGGACACAAGTAAGTTACTCACTCATTTCTGCAAGCTGAGATGAGAGCGTGGAGGCGGCTTCTGGGTTTTTTTCTACTGCATTAGGTCCCACATCAATCAAATTGCTTGCATTTTCTGCATTGTTTAGCTGCTTAAAAGAGACAGGAAGTTTGCTTTGCTATTTTGAAACTATTCTAACTACTACTAGTATTACTACTATTATTATTATTATTAATTTATTACATATACCCCACCCATCTGGCCGGGCCTCCCCAGCGTGGTTCTGCTTCAGGAGGCCACAAGTTTTGAATTACTGAGGAAATCTAAAACACCATTCATCACCCAAAAAAGTCTGAGAAATTTGGAAATAATGGAATCAGTCCCACCAAGAATAAGGCAAAATATCTGAATCCGCCACACTGAGGACTGTGCCCCTTGGTTCTAATGTGCTACTATCTTACCCTCCTAAGAAACATGAATAATAATAATAATAATAATAATAATAATAGTATTTTTTTATTTATACCCCAGCCACTCTGGGCGGCTTTCAACAGATCATTAAAAACCTTGTTAGAATGCACTAAAAGGAAGGAACACTCATTCACCTTAGCAGGCTGGCCAGATCGGAGCCGTTCGAACCTAAGAGAAAGAGAGAGGTGAGCGGATGAGCTCAGGTGGAAGGCTTACACAAGCTGTTTTGCTTGCAAGGGGGTGTGGGCAGGGGAACGAGCAGGGGAGGGGCATGGGAATACCGTTCGTGGCGCAGGAAAATGTTGTTGAGGTTGTCATTGACAATGAGCAGCTCCTCTGTTAGCTGTTCATTGAGGATGCGGGGGATCAGCTCCAGCACGCGCTGCTGCATCGCTTTACATGTCCGGTTCAGCTCCTACCCATGGCAAGAGAACGTACATTGTGAAAACTGAACCAAACAGTCTAGGTTAACAAGTGGCAGCTAGTAACCAGCCCGGGCTAAAAATCCGTTCCTACTGCTCGAGTCACTGGCATGATGGGTTATTTTTGTCGGCATAAGCTAAGCCCACCTCAGCACTTGCTGGCCCGAACCAAATTAAGTCCTTACTCACAGCAGCAGAGGCAAACTTGTGCTGCAGCCGCTTCCTACCTGGAGCAGGTCAAGGTCGGAGGTTTCAGCTTGTCCTGGCACAAGCTCCGTGAGCATCTCAGACATCACTTTCACATTCCCATTCACCACTTCCAACTCGCTGCGTAGTTTCCCAATCTGAAAGCACAAATACACCCACTAAGTCCAGCTGGACTTTCCACTCTTAGAGAAGGACGCAGGAAATTACCTTGTACTATCAGACTATTGACTGACCTAGCCCAGTACGATCTGATCTCTCAAAAGACAAGCTTTCCCCCACCCTGCTGCCTGTGATGTATATCTGTGTATACATACATACGTGTGTGTGTGTGTGTGTGTGTGTGTGTGTGTGTGTATTAGGACCTGGCCATACCCTTGCTAAACAAATGAGACCTCTGACACTGCTCCTTCAGGCACATTTTCATTACTGTTGTAACTGTGGAACTTGCAACCATGGAAGAACCAGGGTTCCTTTTAATGAAACAGTCCTTTCTCCATATGAGGAATCGAATGACTTGTGGAACACGGGGGGGGGGCGACCCCCCCCCCAAGCTGGATGTATTGCAGTAATATCACTACACTGTAGAGATGGAAAGGCCTAGAAAAACCCTGGAAAAATTGGAAAAGTGTGTGGAATATTCAAACTATATCAAACTGTTTGTTTTTTAAATTTTCCTGAAAAAAACAGCTTTGGTAAAAAACAGGTTCCCCCCCCCATTTCTCCGTCCCCACCCCCCAGGCCTTCCCATCTCTACTACGCTGAAGTTGAACCTACCTGCTCTGGTGTCGGTGTGATGGGGGCATCCGTGGCGGCCCCTGGAGAGACAGGGAGAGACACAGGATGCAGAATAGACTCTATTGCTTGAGGGGAGTCTGCTGCTGGTGAATTCACTCCGGTAGGGGAGCCTGAGGTATATACAGTCTAGAGAGGAATCCGTAAAATAAAAGAGAAAGTGGTTCAGTAACAGCTGAAAAAAGGCAAAGGATATTTTCCCCCTCCTACTTTATTAATTCACCCAGCAATGTTCTACGGTGTTTTCTGCTCTCTTTGGTGTTCCCCTGAGTAATTTGTTTTTTAATTACATTTATATGCCACCTTTATCTTCCAAGGAGCTCAAGGGAGTGTACATGGTTCTCCTCCCCATTTCATTCATACAACAACCCTGTGAGGTGGGTTAGGCCAAAAGATGGTGACTGGCCCAAGGTCACCCAGTGAGCTTCAGGGCTGAGTGGGGATTCAAACCCTGCTCTCCCAGGTCCTAGTCCAACACTCTAACCATTACGCCACACTGACTCTCCAGTAATGAGCTGGACATGAAGCCCGCCAACCTCCTTACATTCTCTGGGCTGACCATTAATCCTCCTCTTTGGATTCCAAAACAGACTGCCCTCAATGAAATGCACCCCAGCCACAGGTCCCAATGAGCTGACAGAAACTAGGTTTTTGTTTCCATATGTGCAGTGAGGACTCTAGTAAGCTTCAGTGTACTGCTTGCTTTTTACTACTGTCTTGTACTACTGGAGAAACGGCTGAAAATATACTAGGGTCAAACCTTTCAGGCCAGCTTTTCTTCACCATTGTGAAGTAGGAAACTACTTCAGACAAATACAAATGTTTCCAATAATCCAAATGTTGCTATATCTTATAAAATAGCGAAGAAACCTATCAGCATTATATCTGAAAGCAACAGCAGTGCATACATTATTGCTGAAAAGGCTGGGAACATTTGTAATTTTTACTCTTTATCTTGAACACAGAATCTGGACTCTCAGTTTATTCCCCCTTTGCAAATGCCTTTCCCTCTGGTTCTTCACTCTTCACATTAGACCAGCTTTGTGTTCAAGCCCTTCCCTCGTCGCCATAGACAAGAAGCAACAGCATGCAGGAGAGTGCTTGGGATGCCATGCAGGCTTGTGAACTGGATGGTGGAGAAGGGGGAGCAGTAGCTCATTGCATCTCTCCCCCAAACATGAAAACTAAGTGGGCTGCCAAAGGTGAGAGGGAATCCCCCTCCTCTGTCCCTAGAGCAGAACTGCAGCAGGCTGGTGCAAGAGGAATGGAGCTCTCTGCCTCTCTTCTGCCAGTCCCTAGCAAACTAGTAAATATGCTTGCAGGCTAGTCACTTTTGTGGGGTTATTTGCAAGACTGCATTATACTCTTCCAGGAGCTAGGGGCTTAAAAAGACCCTCATAATGAAAGAAAACCTTACCCTTTGTGGTGTATGGATGGGTGAGAGCATATCCAGATCAGTCATGGGAAACTCCAAGCCTTTCCTCCTCAGGTCCTCATAAACAGCCACAACTCCTGTCAGGTCTGGTGTACTACGGAATGCATCTGCCCAGGACTGCAGAGACAGAAAACAGGTACCGCCTCACAGTCTCATAATCTGTCTTCCCTTTCTTAAATTCTCATGGGGGAGAAGAGCAGGGTGTGTTATTGCTAAGAATCTGTAAGAGCACAGAAAAATTGCATAATGTGGTATTGGGAGCAGGATTCAAGTTTCCTGAAAATCTCTCCTTTGTTTATTTATTTAGCTTCTAGGCCTTATGGCTTCAAATATAGGTATTAAAAAATGTGTCTACTATGTCAGCTGAAACCTCAGCAGTGGCTGAATAATATGTTTGTTAGCTGAAAGCAGGCTTGAGTGCCCTGTCGGCCTTCTTCCTCCTCCTACCTTCCTTCCTCCGACACCGGGATACATTATGCAAAACAGCATATGCTGAAGAACAAGTTATGCAAATGAGATATATTATGCAAATTGAATATATCTATATATGTGTGTGTGTGTGTGTGTTGCAGAATTCAGCTTTTCTTGACTGAGGATTTGGATTGTAAAGAGTGTAACTATTTACTTTTTAAGAAACGGAATACACCCAGACCTGAAAAAAAACCTGGGTGTGTGCCTCAGCCCAGGTTCAGACTCAAAATAACTATATATATTGTGGGGGTCACATTTTAATTCGGTGTCGCTGTTTGCGTGCAGCATGGTAGGCAGCCCCTGAAGGGCAGACACAGTGCTAGAGAGATTAATACACAAAGTAGCACCTTGCCATACCTACATTTGAACTGACTTCCTTTGCTCCCTTCTGTTTAATTTGCTGGGAGTTATTTGCCCGTGAAGGAAGGCAACTGTGCACACTTATGCAACTCATCTCATGCACTCACCTGTATGAGGGTCAGCACCTTGTCGTGTACAATGGCCGGAGGATTGTTTTTGGGAAGAATGGTTCGCACCAGCACACCTTCTACAAAATCCTGGCTAGCGACCAGCGTGTGGAAGCGGTGGCCACAGTTTTTGACACATGTTTCAAGGACCTGTAGAACCAAATAAGATGTCAGTAAAGGGGTTTTCGGTCCTCCTTCCCATGCAATCCCAACTGGAAATTCCAGTTCCAAATGGCAGGCAGGCATAAGGATATGTTTTAGTACCCAGGGTATTTCCACTTGCTTTTGACTAAATCAAACACGCACAACATATTTTTGTAGTCTTTTGGTGCTTTCCCACTACTTAATCAAAGATTTAACATCCCCACTCAAAGGTTATACCTTTTTTTGGATATACCTTCAGACTATCTCTGTCATTGATTTAGCTACTGAAGTAAACGGAATCAAATGATTATAATGGCATCCTGCCCTATAACTCACCCTGCAATAGATGACAAGAAGCAAATGCAGAAGACTGTTGGGTTGGGGGTGGGTGGGTGGGTGGGAAGAAACTGATGGGTTCTTGTGCTTATTGAGAAAGGAGCATCATACTCACTGTCAAAGCCAGCATCACCTCATGGAAGTTCTTATTCCCTACAATCCTTTTCTTTATGGCTCGGAAAGCATCTTTGGGGCTAAGAACAGAAGAAACAAGATTACAAAAGAACTAGCATTGGAACAGAGACAAAATATGCAGTTGGAATTTGCCAGGCCATAAGGTTTCATCAGTTTTGTTCCTCAGTCGCTACTGTTAAGAACCCAATTCAACCAGCCAATTGAGTCCGCCAAGCTAGCCATTCCCACAATGTCAGTATCTTACCCCCAAAGTGTATTTGCTTGAATCAGAGGCAGAAATGCAGATATCAACAGGAACAAGAATTGCAAAGAATGCAAAGAGCAAGCTACAGATAGGTACATACATTTAATAAAAAATAAGTAACAAAAAGATGTGCAAGGAAAAGTGTTATTTATGAAACATGTCCAGGTAAAGTCCTATTTTGTTGTCTCCTTTGGAATGAAATGAAAGAGTCATATATAGCATGCCAGTAAGGGACAGCTGTTGGGCAAAATCAGAGAACATAAACAGCCCACCTACTGAAGAATATCCTGTTTCAAAGAGCACATTCATTCTGCAAGCTTGAGATCCATTCCACCAGTAGCTTTACAGGAGTAATAGTGAACATGCTATCTGTTGCCATGTTACGGAAAATGAAGAATTCAGAAGCAAGACATACAAACCAAACCACCGTTATTTATTTCGGCATGTCTTGCTTTCTTGACACTTTACAAGCTTTCTGGATGAAACCCAAAACTTTAGCAACACCTAACATACTTTTCAACACAAGGCAAGAAGCTAATTATCTTTGCATTACTGTGCTGTGGGGTGGTTTTTTTGGCAGGGGTGGGGTGAGAAGGTGGAACGAGATTCATTGTAGTATAGAGAACGAGAAGCAGAAGACAAATGTAACCATGCTAGGAGGCAGTGGATTTTGAGGGCAGTTAATGATGATTGGGGGCTACTGAGTGGTAATTGAAGCCCAATTGCTGTGCTGTTGCCTGGTAGCGATGCCAGAGGACTCACAGATGTGGGGAAAGGGTGCACCAGCAGATGGCAGCTTGCTGAGGGTCCCCTCAAACCTGGAGTTAGCCATAAATAGGATTACTAGCCTTCACATGAATAGGATTACTAGCTTTCACCAGACAGAGGGCCTTCTTGGTAGTGGTGCCCGCCCTGTGGAACACCCTCCCATCAGATGCCAAGGAAATAAACAACTATCTGACTTTTAGAAGACATCTGAAGGCAGCTCTGTTTAGGGAAGTTTTTGATGTTTGATGTTTTATTCTGTTTTTAATATTCTGTTGGGAGCTGCCCAGAGTGGCTGGGGAAACCCAGCTAGATGGGCGGGGTATAAATAACAAATTATTATTATTATTATTATTATTATTATTATTCACATCACCAATGACACTTTGCATATTAAAAGGGCTTCACAATGTTTACTCTGCTAACAAAAATTACACCAATGAGCCTTGCATCTTCTGAAAACAAATAAATAAAGGCAAACAACCGCCCATGGATTAGACCACACCATCAGATGCAAATCTTTTACTCTCACAACAAATTCAGATGGGGAGCTCCTGAGTAGCCTCAGGTAGGTCCCAAGCCCACAGTTAAGCTAGGATGCAAATCCATTTCCCCCCAATGTCCAAGTAAAATATGGAACCTACTAGAACAGACCCAATGAGCCATGATGGTGTTGTATGAAAAACAAAATTGTGTGTGTGTGTGTGAGATGCAGTCATGCTGAGTTCACGGTGGGACAAAGGCCTAGGGTTGGAATAGACACAAGGGCTGCAAGGCAGGCGCGAGGAGATACAGCTGACAGAAACAGGACAATACAGCCTGAAGCCATACCACGTTGCAATAATGAAAAGAACAAGAAGGCTTCCTTTATTTTCTATGTGGAGAGATATCTGCAGCCACGTAAGCACTGAGCTGCATTCCAGAGAGGCACCACTCCTATTGCATGTTGTTCTTGCCCTTCCTGAGGTCGCCAGCAAGCCCACTGAGAGTTATTTATAGTGTTCAGCATGGATGGGTTTGGCATTCCTCAGATTTCTGGATGCCTCAAAGCTGGGTTGTTCAGGGTATGTGCATGAGAGAGAGAAAAAAGATTGGCAGGGGGAAATTAAGGATTTGGATGGACTTGAAACTTCACACTTCTTTGCCCCTCTCTGCTATTACTGTACTATCCGTATACCTGAGAGAACCTCAGTTGGAACTGCACTGAATGGGCCAGCTGAGATTTTTCCTGTCTCCGTAGTCACCAGCCTGGAGAGTATTAGACTCCCAGTGAGGGAAAAGAAGGCAGAGACAGAGAAAAAAAAAGAGAGAGAGAAACGGAGAAGGGAAAGGAGGACAGTAAAGAAGGAACCGATCGAGCAGTAAGCTGTCCTTGTGAGAAAAGGAAAAGAACAAAAAAAGGAAATGCCAGGGAAAGAATGCAAGACAGAGTTTAATACTATGTGAAAAAATTACGGGAAAGGGCTAATGGCATATCTGGCAGCTGGTGGTACAAAAGGCGGCTTCAAGCAGAATGTTGCTCTGGCAGCATTCTCTTCTGAAGGTGTCAAGGGACTTGGGCTTTTAAGACTAATGACTTACAATGCCAACTCAAGAGATTTTTCCCTGAACACTTTTTCCACTCATACACATTAGCGTAGTAGACTGACGCAAGTCTGTCAGTGAGCATGTGGATAAGGCCACTTGTCTTGTAAGCAACGCTGGCTTCCTTACCCTTCTTCTGTCTCATTAATGATATCACAGATCTCCATGTTGAGGGCCCAGTTTTCGTTCTGTAGGGAGCCATCAGTAGCTTTCTCTGGAGGAGGAAGAAAACAGACATCATCCCTAGATCTGATTTTGAAGTATAGAATCATAGTTGGAAGGGACCATGAGGGTCATCCAGTCCAACCCTCTGCAATGCAGGAAACCTTTGGTACTATATCACCTTTCCACTTCTGAACACATGCCATTCGTGCTGCTGTTGCATACATAACAAGAGATTTCTGGTCTTTAAACACACTTACATCTATTATACCAAAAAGAAAAAAAGGGTTTTAACAAATTATCTTTTAAAGCATTTTTTTCAGCTCATTGTAACGAGATTAAAAGTCTCAGGCTTCATGAATGGTAGCTGCAGCAGAACTGAGAATGGAAAAAAGGAAGAGGCAAGATTCCAAATATACACCCCCTGCCCAATAATCTTTTCCCACAACAGACCTAGAAATAGCCTCCATATGGTCAGAAGCACTGGCAGTCTGTGAGGTCACCATGACATCAGTAGCTTGTGCTGGCCACCGCGAGCCACTCAGCTGCCTTGTACCTGAATGGTGGCAAACCCAGCAGCTGCTAAACCTTTGCATCACAACACCTTCTGGTACAGGCAACAGGTCCCCATCCCTCATGTCGCCAGATGCTGGTACAGTAGCCTATAAACAACTGCCTCCTGAGCCACTGCTGTTCCCAGGTCTCCACCTAGCGACAGCTTCTGACTGTAACCAGCCAACACCTGAGCCCTATTCCAGCTTTCTCTTCATGCCGCTGGCTTCAGGCCACTCGCCCTCTGGCAGTGCAAGGATTCTCCTTGCAGTACAGCATCAAAGACACGGGAGGGAAGACAGTGACTTCCTTGTTCTTCTCTTGTGTTGCAAGGAGAATTGCAATGGGGCACTGAAGTGAAGCAACAGACAGCTATCATGGCCAGCAGCTAGGAGCAGAATCTCCATGTTGCAAGGCCAGAGAGTAGGGCAAACAACACGGGGGAAACACAGCAGCCTGTTTGTAAACTACCAGAAATATCTACAGTGACTTTTGTCTTCTGGGTTTCTGGGGGTTTTCCTGTTGTTATTCTGTCTCTCACAGCTACAATAAACCTACCATTAAAATTATGGACTGGCCATTACTTCCTCAGAGGGCAAACGGGCAAACTTAGCAGGGGATCAAATACTTTCCCCCCTCACTGTAAGTTCTTTCACATTCTTAAAGACTCCCAAAGAGGCCCCTTAAATCAAGCCAAATCAGGAGTAAATACGTGTGAATGTATGAGGTGGAGGGAAAATCAAGCTTCTTATTTCCCTATGGATCTTGTCCAATGGGAGCCTTCTCATGAGAGGATAGCTGCTCGCCTTAGACAGCAAAATCTGGGATACTCATTACAAGTCAAATTGTTACATAGTATTTTCATTATATTTTTACTGGGGGGTGGGATGGGGAAGAGCCACACCAAAATGTCATGGTTTAACTCTGGTCGTACAAAAATGGAGAAGCTTCTTAGCATCCAAATGAGTGGGATGGGTAACAGAATGCAATGAGGGCAAACCCAGTCTTCGTCTGATGGTGTCTCTTTCAGTCTGTGTTACTCACAGCAGAATGTTGAACAGCAAGTTGTTATTACCAGCGTCTCCACCCTGTAATCAGCTCAGCCTTAACCCCTTGTGGCAAGTGGGCCCAGTAAGTCTAGGCAGAAGCCTGGACAGTGTACAAAGAGAAAATGGATACCAGCCTAGTAGCAGTGGCACATGAAAGTCTGCAAAATAATAGGCTGAAGGAAAGAGGGAAACAGAGAACAACTCTATCTAGTGTTCAGAGTAGCATGTACCAGTGGCCAGTGGAGTAGTGGAGTAGTGGGACAGCTAAGCATTGCACTTAGAAGTACAGGTTAGGATGGCCATCAATTGTACATGGTAGTGCTCCTCTGCCTTTGACAGGTATAAGGTAAGCAGAACTTCCAACATTTCAAATATCAGAAAAAGCTTTCCTAGGAGAATTTCTGAAGCTCTGATGAAAGGGATGCAGAGGCAGACCTATCACTGCTGTCTAAGGAGTAGTCAAGGATGCCAATGAGATAAGGAGGGCTGGAAGTAATCTGTACGGAAAAGGCTTGGCAGCAAGAGTCCTTGAAGGATGGTACAGTCATACCTTGGTTTTCAAACAGCTTAGTTCTCGAACGTTTTGGCTCCCGAACAGTGCAAACCTGGACTGAGTGACTGTTCCAGTTTGTGAACTATTTTTGGAAACTGGATGTCCGACGGGGCTTCCATGGCTTCTGATTGGCTGCAAGAGATTCCTGCAGCCAATCAGAAGCCGTGCTTTAGTTTACAAATGTTTTCGAAGTCGAACACACTTCCAGAATGGATTCCTTCCAAGGTACGACTTTAAATGATAGGTAAAATATATAGCTGCTAAAGTCATCAGATCTTGACGATACACAGAAATTCTCTGTATCAGAAGCTAGCAATTTTAGTACCTTTTTAAAACAAAACAAAACCCAAAACACACATGACATAATTTTAATTCTATTCTCAAAGTATACCATACTCAAATTTCATTAGGTTATTAAAGTGGGGGATACTACTTTTGAATACCTCTCTGTGTAAAAAGACTCACTGACTGAGCTGCTGAAAAGGGGGATACTTTAATATTCCTCTTCATTACATTTCCCTCTGCCACGGTTCACTCTGCTAACCTCTACCCCAATGTGAAGAGATCTATTCAAGGTCCCAAAATATTTACTTTCCAGAAAGGAATGCAAACAAACTGCACATACTCCTCTAGCTGCTCAGGAAAGAGGCTTACTAATAAGAAGAAAAGTCCAAAGGAGCAGAATTCAGCCAAACAACTAGATGACTATTAATCCACCAATTTAGAATCCAGTTTTATTATGGCCAACAGCAACAGCTTTGGCAGTTGAAACAATTCCTTGTATTTTGACGCATGTAAAGTACACACAGAAATCAGTGCAGAGACCAACACCAGCTAGTACATGGTGAGACAGGAGTGAGAATAGCAAATAAATCCAAGGACAATGGGAGCAACAATATATAAGGAAGGCTGGGCACATGCTGCACATCCTAAGTAAAAAATAAACACAGAAAATCCAAACTGCTTTCAGAACTAAGGCTGCACATTTTTGCTATGCACACCGATTGTCGGACAGATAGATATAGATAGATACAGATATATTGCAGTATTTCATTTATTTTAATGAAAGTAAATGTCCACATGTTAAACTCCACACAACTTTCCATGTGTTTGCTGGTCAGCACAGAAGACACACAGGCAAAGTTTTACAGCGGGTGGCTAGTATTCAGTTCAGTGGGGTTTACTGCTAGGTTTATTGCAGCCCAAGAGCTTAACCATATTCTCACTAGGGACCATAGACTCATATTTTAGACTCAGCCGCATACCTGCAACACTGATATAATACTAGCATAGCTTATAGGATTGTTGGAAGCGTTGCTGTGCTAACAACTGGGAAGCATACTGAATCCAATTTTTCAAAGTGTCCTGTAATATTTATAATTATTATTATGATTATTAAGTTCTGAAAGGAAGTAAATGTGATAGAACAGACATCTGTCTGCGAAGATATAGGCCTAGGACCTATACCTACGTACCTATACCAGAAGTATATGGATGCCAGGATAGAACCTTTGCCACTGAAGGTGTTAGGACATGCAAACTAGGGACAGGGCTCAGCTGTCAGCTTGGGTAAAGATCCATGAGATCTTTGGGAGAAAGGGGCTGTTCTTCTCCTACCTAGGTAAAGGTAAAGGGACCCCTGACCATTATGTCCAGTCACGGACAACTCTGGGGTTGTGGCGCTCATCTCACTTTACTGGCCGACGGAGCCAGCATTTGTCCGCAGACAGCTTCCGGGTCATGTGGCCAGCATGACTAAGCCGCTTCTGGCGAACCAGAGCAGCGCACAGAAACGTCGTTTACCTTCCCACCTATTTATCTACTTACACTTGACGTGCTTTCAAACTGCTAGGTTGGCAAGAGCAGGGACTGAACAACGGGAACTTGTCCCATTGTGGGGATTCGAATCACCAACCTTCTGATCGGCAAACCCTAGGCTCTGTGGTTTAGACCACAGTGCTACCCGTGTCCCTCTTCTCCTACCTAGCATAAGAGAAAGGGTGGCATCTTGTAGATGTAGACCTACCACCCCACAAACCCCTTTAAATTAATTAGAAATAGCATAAAATAGTTGACAAGTAAATTAACCCAACAAAATATAAAGTATATTATTACGTTAAATTATTTTTCAGTAACCGATTATAAAGGAAAACATATTAAAATCATTATCAAACACACTTCTCTTCCAGACCCAAACAGAACATGCTCTTATTACTACTAATTCAGCTTATCATCTGTTTTATGGAAACTGTCAGTGCCATTTCCAGCAATTAACAATCCCTCTGACAGACCACAGGCATTCAAGTGGAAGTGGTTGTGGGTGAGTGTGGGTGGTCCAATTCTGACACCTGACAATCTAGCTCAGAGTTTTTTTAACTGCTTGATAGGGAGTCTCCTGAAATACCTATATGCAAAACCCTTCAACGTTCAACTCAAATTGTATCATCTCATTGCTCCCATCCTTCATCCGAGTGAATGTGGGATTATCAGATGAAAAAAGAAAGGAGGGAGCATTACCACATGGGACCTCTGGAATGACCTTAAAAACAGAGAATGAGCTACACACCCACTCAAACACTGACTATCCACAAAAGAAGTGGGCCACAGGGATGCTGACAGTGCTACAAACCTCTTCTGTCACTCTAACTGAGCATTTTAAAGAGCACCTTTTTAGATGGACGCTTCATACAGCTGGAATTTTAATCAGTTCCAGCTTCTTATTTGTAATAAATCCATGGGATGGATTTTGAGTTAGTGATGTTTTTTTAAAAAAAAAAGGGGGGGGGAGGAAATCCTGGATTTTACCGCTTTGATGAAGATTTACATAAAAAGGCTATTCATTGGTCACATGAAGGATCTGGATGCTGGGCTCTGCTTCAAGAGCTGTAATTAGAACCATCCACACCTTCTGAAAACTAACCCAGGGCAACATGGCTTCCACAGAGAAGGGTGTATCAGACAGCAGACACAGGAGCACAAATCTCACTGACAACAAACATGCCAAATTGTAGGTTAGCAAATGGAGCACTCCAAGCTTCAGCTTGTGCAAGCGTCTCTGGCTTACTTCAAAGTCAGTTCAGGAGGGTGTCAGTTTGCCTCCAGGGTGTGGCGACTGGCAATTTTGTCACACAACATTTAAGTGTTATGTTTTACAGGCTGGTCGGGTTATTTCAGATTTCAGGGGGCTCTGGTATGCTCTATAACTGAAGCATTTACTAGCTGTTCTCAAAATAAGGGCCAGGAAGGATGCATCAGTGAAAATTCTCAGTGCAACTATCAGATTAAGAATTTATTCTAAAGACAGGGTAGAACATCAAGGGCAACAATATATTGTTAACACACAGCACTGGCTGCAAATTTTGCAATTGTAAAACATGGATTTTAAAATCGGACTTTAACCCTAGGTATTCTCTGTGATATGGTTCAGTGCTGATTACGTTGTTGTAAACAATACATGTGCCTCCCTTGAAAGAGGGCAAAGCTTTTAAGTTGGTTTTCAAACTATAAAATAGTGATTTTAGAAATATTACATAGAAAGAAATATTGCAGCATTTCATTCAGTTTCAAATCGCTTTTACTCAAATGATCCATCAGGCACTACTTCACGATGATCCTAATTGGATAGATTTAGTCTTCATTCAGTATCTTATACATTGTTACTAGGATATATTTTCTGAAGACGGACATTCTCAGTACAGTACAGTACAGTACAGCCAAATCAGTTTGTGCCATGGGAATGAAATAAGTAACTACGAAGAGAACTGTCATTTTATGCTAGCTCTTCCTCATGTTTCATCTTCTGAATCATCCTTCATTAATCAGTCACAAACCCATGACCAATAACCATTTAAAGGGATTAAGTCTACACTGGACAGAAAATGCACGATTTTAACCATGTAATATCTATATTGTCATCTTAACTTTTTTTAAAAAAATACAGTAATCTCCACCTACTGGATCCTGACTCACCAGTGGGTCTGATAATCTCCAGAATTTTCCCCTGCACTATGGAAGCTTTAAGTGAACATAGCATTGTCAGAAGATGGATATGAATGACAGAACAGAGCATTTAATTTCTGCCAGCCTTTAGTGCATCCTTAACTAATGAAACCTGGAGAAAATATACAGGATTAGGCATCCCACTCCACTCCCCCCACTTTTTGGTGTGGGGTGCAGTGGCAGCCAAAATTGTGGCACCCCAAAGCTCTGTGCACAGTGCAACCAAACTGATCATACTCCCCTAAATCTGCCTCTGTGGTGTTCCTGTTTATGTAGAGTTTACAAGGAATCCCGAGGGATTTATCTGCCCTCAGCTTTATACAGTGGTACCCCGCAAGACGAACGCCTCGCAAGACGGAAAACCCGCTAGACGAAAGGGTTTTCCGTTTTGGAGGCGCTTCGCAAAACGAATTTCCCTATGGGCTTGCTTCGCAAGACGACAGCCCATAGGGAAATCTCAGGGACAGCGGGAAGCGCAGCGCGTCTTCCCCACTGTCCTCGGACCTCCTCCGAAGCCTGGCGGCGGGGCGGGGACACCTCCTCCCGCCGCCGCCGGGCTCGGAAGGCTCCTCCGAGCCGGGCGGGGGAAGGAACACCTGCCGCCGCCGCCCGGCTCGGAACGGTGCTCCGGAGCCGGGCGGGGGAGGGAACACCTGCCGCCGCCGCCCGGCTCGGGACGGTGCTCCGAGCCGGGCGGTGGGGAGGAAGACCTCCCCCGCCGCCCGGCTCCGGAACGGTGCTCCGAGCCGGGCGGGGGGAGGGAACACCTCCGCCGCCGTCCGGCCCGGGACGGTGCTCCGAGCCGGGCGGTGGGGAGGAAGACCTCCCCCGCCGCCCGGCTCGGAGCGGTGCTCCGAGCCGGGCGGGGGAGGGAACACCTCCGCCGCCGCCCGGCTCGGGACGGTGCTCCGAGCCGGGCGGTGGGGAGGGAAGACCTCCCCGCCGCCCGGCTCGGGACGGTGCTCCGAGCCGGGCGGGGGAGGGAACACCTCCCGCCGCCGCCCGGCTCGGAACGGTGCTCCGAAGCCGGGCGGGGAGGGAAGACCTCCGCCGCCGCCCGGCCCGGAACGGTGCTCCGAGCCGGGCGGGGGAGGGAAGACCTTCTGAAGGCGGGCGGGGGTGAGAGTCTTTGCTCCCCCTGCCTGCCTGTCCCGGAGGGCTTTTGAAGGCGGGGGAGCAAGACTTTCGCCCCCGCCCGCCTTCAGAAGAGGTCCAGGACCTCTTCTGAAGGCTGGCGGGGGCAAAGTCTTTGTCCCCCTGCCTGCCTTCCCAGGGGCTTTAAATTGCCCCGGACAGCGGAGAAGTCCTCCGCTGTCCCGGGTGATTTTAAATGCCGCCCGCCAGCATTTTAAGATCGCCCGGACAGCGGAGAAGTCCTCCGCTGTCCCGGGTTTTTAAAATGCTGGGGTGGGAAGAAAGCCCTTGCCCCCCCAGCCTTCAGAAGAGGTCCGGGGACAGACTGTCCCCGGACCTGGTCTGTAGGCGGTTCCCTAGGAACGCATTAATTGATTTTCAATGCATTCCTATGGGAAACCGTGCATCGCAAGACGAAAAACTCGCAAGACGAAGAGACTTGCGGAACGAATTAATTTCGTCTTGCGAGGCACCACTGTAATCACTTGTAGCACACCTCCTACAAATACCACTGGATTGCCTCAGAAATAAAAATTTCCCTGCCTTCCAACTCAGAGCCAATATCAGCGATAGTCATCTGCTAAACATCCTAGCAGGCCCGCCACCGGGATCCACCACTGGCTCTCTTTTTGTGGCTAGACAACCAACCCAAAGTGTCAGGCAGTTGGGTCTCACTGCCGTTTAAATTTCCCGCGATATCCAGTGCAACACTGCCAGCTACCCAGTGCTGCTCCTGCCATCCCAGCACATGAACCCATAGATGAAGGGCCACAACCTGTGCTTACCCCTATCCATGTACACAGTGCCAGATTTACGTATAAGCTAAACAAGCTATAGCTTAAAGCCTCACTCTCTTGGAGCCTCCAAAAAATATAAAGGAAAAAAACCTGGATGCACATTTCCAAAATTTAAGATAAAAAACAAATAAAATAAAACCTACTTTCAGCAACAGTGTTTTGTGTTGTGTATTACTTTGATAAAATACATATTTTGTTATGTGTAAATGGCTTTTGATACCTAGTAGGTTCATAAATTACCATACAGCATATATTCAACAAAAAACAGCGACAATTTGTTGTTGACAAAGGACAACTGGACATATAAAGGGCACCATCACCTTCAGTAGCTTAAAAGGTAAAGGGACCCCTGACCATTAGGTCCAGTCGTGGCCGACTCTGGGGTTGCGGCGCTCATCTCGCTTTATTGGCCGAGGGAGCCGGCGTACAGCTTCCAGATCATGTGGCCAGCATGACTAAGCCGCTTCTGGCAAAACCAGAGCAGCACAGAGAAACACTGTTTACCTTGCCACCAGAGCGGTACCTATTGATCTACTTGCACTTTGACATGCTTTCGAACAGCTAGGTTGGCAGGAGCTGGGACCGAGTAACGGGAGCTCACCCCGTCGCAGGGATTCGAACCACCGACTTCTGATCGGCAAGTCCTAGGCTCTGTGGTTTAGGACCTCATCAAACCTAAATCCGGCCCTGCATGTACACATTTAGTGGTTCCCTGGAAAGAATATCAAGCCAACAGGAAAGGCGCTTCTCTCTATGTCTCTCCTCGGAACAACCATATGTGACTAGCAACTTTTAGGACTGGCTTTTGAGATCTCTAGGTCAAAGACCAGCTTGCCTGGAGTGCTGCACGGAGGTGCAAACAGAAGGCCAGAAAGCAACACCTGTTTAAAGTGGCCTGCCAACAAATGCCGTTGCGACACCAGCAGCTTCCTCCACGCCTCTACACAGAGCCATGAGGTTGGCAGCCGAGGAGGACAGCGGGACTTTCCCCTCAGCCAGGTACTTTACAACCTCTCCATATTGTGCTCAGGCAGCCCCCTGCCCCCCCTCCCCTCGCTTTGGGAAGGTGGCCGGGGTGAGCAGCGAAGAGGCTTTGGCTCCAGGGGGCGTGGCGCCCACTCGGAGCGGGGCGCGGCCCCTTTAAATGAGAAAACTTTTTATCTAGTGCGCGAGACTCCTCCCGTCTCCCCCCCCTCACCACAAGCCCCGATTGGTTTAGGAGGGCAGCCCCGAGAACCCACCTCCTAGCTCGCTCCCCATTGGCTAGCACTCATTGCCGATCAACATAATCCCGTCTTCCCATTGGCCCAGGTACCCTGAACCCCGCCTATTCACCGTAAAGGTAACCCCCCCCGCCTGAGGTAAGAACCTCGACGGGAGGGGGGAGGGAAGGGAAATACGCGCAAACGCCACAGAAGCGAATTTGCGGAGTTGGTAAAAGGAGGGCCGCGGCGAGGTTCGGCGTTCTTACCGATCCGCTGCCCCACGGGAGAGCTGAAAGGGTTGCCCAGGAGAAACTCCATCGCCGCGGCCGCACAGCTCAGCAGAGATCAGCTGACATGCCCCGCGAGAGCGCGTCACGTGACCTCCTCGCGACCGAGAGAGGCGTGTCCGCGGACCTCCCTCCCACCCCCGCCCTCGTGACGTCAGCGCCCCGGCGCGTTCCAAGCTGAACTTCAAAGGCGATGTTGTTGGGGAGCTTTACGGAAGGGATGACTCAGCGCGCCAATGGGAAGAGCCCGATCCCAAACATGCTCGCCGGGAGAGCAAGCCCTAATGAGTGTGGGACTTGCTTCTTTGCGAGCATGCTTGGGAGTAGGTTTTCAGCGGAGAGGTCGATTGGTTTATGACGGTGGCGGGTGACGTCACAGAGGATTGTTAACTGGGACACAAGCACGCCCACACTCTCTCCACCCTTCCCCTGTGGTCTAATATGTTCCTTAGGCAGTTGCTGCTTTTGAAATAGAAACGTGGCCAGTGCAGGCCTTTTGCAATCGTACCTGCGGGTTTCATGGATCGTTGTGGCGCCTGCCAAACGAAAATGTTTTTCCCCCGTTACCATCCAGACTAAAGAAGCACAGGAGCAAAAACCTCAGCAGCTGCTGAAACTGTAGCAAACTAGCTTGGAGCTAGTCTTGGATTAAGAACAGGATACAGATATGATTGGGAAAGATGATGGGCTTCATAGCCTGGTGCTTAGTTGGAGAGGCAGGTTTGTCTGTTAACACAGCAATTAAAAACACACATAGAAATTTTAAACTGCTTCCAGCATTCTCGGTCACTAGAACTTCCTTTGGGAGTGTGTTTAAATCCTGCCTAACCACAAAAAACCTCACAAACAAAAGAATCACGCACAGGAATGTTCGCTTGAAGAGTAAATGGTTTCCAGATTTGACAATATACAGTATATAGGTGAACCATTGTGTTCTTCAAATGAACACACTAGGATTCCTCAAGGCTGTTTCATATCTAGGCAATTACAGCACTGGACAGTATTTCAACTTGGGCAGCATAGCAGGCACAAAGTCATTCAGAATCACAGAATTTGTAGAGTTGGAAAGGACCCTGAGGATCATTTAGTCCAACCCCCTGCAATGCTGGAATATGCAGCTGTCGCATACAGGGATCAAACCTGCAACTTTTGCATTATTTTAAAATATTTATATGCCACCTTTCTGAGTAGCACTCTTCCAGAGTAGTTTCAATATTAAATTTCAAAAATAGTATCAATGAAAATGTGTAACATAAAACAAAATGTGTAAAGTATTGCACTTGGGCAAAAAAATTGAGAGGCACAAATACAAGATGGGGGACACCTGGCTTGAGAGCAGTACATGTGAAAAGGATCTAGGAGTCTTGGTTGACCACAAACTTGACATGAGCCAACAGTGTGACGCGGCAGCTAAAAAGCCAATGCAATTCTGGGCTGCATCAATAGGAGTATAGCATCTAGATCAAGGGAAGTAATAGTGCCACTGTATTCTGCTCTGGTCAGACCTCACCTGGAGTACTGTGTCCAGTTCTGGGCACCACAGTTCAAGAAGGACATTGACAAACTGGAACGTGTCCAGAGGAGGGCAACCAAAATGGTCAAAGGCCTGGAAACGATGCCTTATGAGGAACGGCTAAGGGAGCTGGGCATGTTTAGCCTGGAGAAGAGGAGGTTAAGGGGTGATATGATAGCCATGTTCAAATATATAAAAGGATGTCACATAGAGGAGGGAGAAAGGTTGTTTTCTGCTGCTCCAGAGAAGCGGACACGGAGCAATGGATCCAAACTACAAGAAAGAAGATTCCGCCTAAACATTAGGAAGAACTTCCTGACAGTAAGAGCTGTTCGACAGTGGAATTTGCTGCCAAGGAGTGTGGTGGAGTCTCCTTCTTTGGAGGTCTTTAAGCAGAGGCTTGACAACCATATGTCAGGAGTGCTCTGATGGTGTTCCTGCTTGGCAGGGGGTTGGACTCGATGGCCCTTGTGGTCTCTTCCAACTCTATGATTCTATGATTCTATGATTCTATGATTCTATGAAAATAGTAGTTCCAGAGAACCAGCAATTCATGAAGAACAGGTTAGGAAAAAAGGTCTCCTAGCCAGTGTTGCTTATGTAAAGACACCTTCTGACAAAGTCTTAAGAATTACACAGAAACCCAATTGCAATCAATGAGTTAACACAGTGACCGTTACTGGTAGATCATACTGCTTGCTTTCAATCTAAAGAAAACTGGTGGAATGAGTGAAAGTAGAAAGATAGTTATGGACTATACTGAGGCATGTAAAAATTACCAAATAGAGAACTAATATAGTTGTGGAGTGTGGAGGTTATGAACAGGGATGTTGTAAAACTGCTTTTTTAAAAAAAAATAAGTAATTTGCCAAGACCAAACATCTCATAGATGAAATATTGGTGGTCATGAGGCATATGAAATTAATCAAGATTCAAGTTCTGATTTTTAAAAAAGTTTATATACATTAGCAAAACATTTATACAATGCAATTTGGACTACATGGCAGGAAATAACAAATGTAAAAAAGTATGAGGAGTATATCCAAAGCTCTCCAGTACCAAATGTCACACAACACACATTATACAAATGTTTACAAATTTTAAATAAAAATACATCAGTACATTTATCTTTTACAAAGTCAAGTTTGCCATAGTGCAGATGGCAGAACTGAAGTAGAGCCCCTTTGACTGTTTGACTCAAAGGAAGTTTCTGACAATTATCTAGGTTTAAAGTGATTGTGCCTGGATTCTCTTCACCACTCAAATGTTACTTGAGACACAAAAGGCTCTGTAAAAATCAAGATGTTAGCTCCCAGCACATGGGCTTGTTTACAGAATAGCACCTAATACAGCTAGCCTGTCCCCCTTGGGATTAACTAGGGAAAACTTGTGAAGAAAGTGAGAACTTTTTTATTAAAACGTTGCCAAGAAGTTTGGAAAAAGTGGGCAGAAATAGTTTTCATACATTGAGCCTGTGATCCTAAAGTGGGTGGAGTATGTGGAATGCAAAGGTGGTTCTATTGCCATTGTCAATTTCCTACTGGGCTTGAGCCAGCTGGGCGGAATGTGGGTAGGGGCTTTTAAACTGCCAAGACCACCCTAGGGGTCTGAAGACAGAACATGGAATTTGTGGCTAGTCCTGGAACCAAAATTATCCCACTGTCTGCCACTTTTCAGTTTTCTAAATAACAAGTGGCAAGGGAACTTAGGGCAGAATATAAAGTTTTCAATTTTTGTTTCCATCCACCATCCAAATCCCACCGCTATTTCCTTCATTGTCAGCCTATGCTTGAAAACGGCAGATAAAATGCAATTCTGGCAGGGTATCCAGGTAAAAACACATAGTTCTCGTTTTCCATACATGGTTGGTGGAGGGAATTTTTGCTTTCATTATAGCTATATACAGAAATATACAATATAAATTAATCTACTACAGATGCAGTATATGAAAATGTAAATACACATGTTAAAAATGCCACACTTCATCCTAGGTGTGAGAGAAGTACTTCCTCAAAGAGCAACAGGCACTCAAAGTGCTAAATCCTGTGGCTGGGATAAAGGACCTGCCCTCTCATTGTCTTCCTCTCAGCTAAAAGCCCTTAAATTTCAGCTTAATCACTGCCTCTACAGCACACATTTCAGCACCATGAGGGGAGGACCACGTCAGTTCACTGCTGGTGATAAGCAATTATAAATCAGTATGTGAACTGTAAGGGAGCTGGAGGAGCCCCGGCCCTCAGTCTTTTATGGTGTTACCTTAGGTACTAGTTTTTGAAGGGTACTGGGGGTGCGGGTAGAGAGATAGCAGAGGGGAAGAGAAATTAGCTAAAATCAGGAGGAGTTGAAGGTAGGGCTTGTAGATCCTCCTCTTTAGAATATCCCAGCACAGTTTTAAAATACCACAATCCATTGATTAGTTACAACCTGTGAAAAAGTGATGCAGGCTTTCACTAGGATTTACTACTTATCCATATTAAGAAGACCTTGTTTCTCCTAAGAATTTGAGAATTCACTCACCACACCTGAATCTGTATTTAGCAACCTACTTACAACTGGAAGATTTAATGAGGATTCCTGGTGCCAGCACAAGCCCTCAGCAAAACACTATCCCCTCAACTTTCTTTCCCAGCGTAATTTTAACAACATGCAAGCCAACCAAACTTCAACCAAACTTGCTTGACTTTTCCAAGTAAAACCAATTCATTAAAAAAAAATCAAACCCAACCATATTAAGGCTAATCTATCAAAATATTTCCCAACTCTAATTGTAGAGACATCCAATCTGAGACAAAACCGATTCCCACAAATTACGGTTGAAACTTTTCGTAAAATCAAGCAAAATAGTTACAATTCTATTTGATATATTACAGACAGAAAAACTCAAAGCCCTATATACATTGTCCTCTGGAAGAACTAGGATAGTGTATCTGTACACACTTCAGTTACTTGGCAGCACGTCACTTCCCATTATCCTTTTCCTGTCAGAGTCCAGGCATGATGTATGCAATGTTGTCCAATGTGTTTGACTGGAAAGGTGGCCAGGGGGAGAGAGGGAGAGAGGGAGAGAGAGAAATATTAAATTGAATCAGTATCTTATAAAAAAAAACCAAGCATGCCTTTGACATTAATGCAGCAGAACAAATGACTTAGGAAAAACCAAACACCTAAAGACATGACAAAGGTAGACAGAGTGCTTCCTTTGGAGATGCACAAAAGCCTGTGGATCTTTCAGAGGTACTGGGGAATATTTTCATTTGCCCTGGGCTTTGATAGCTGTCACTAAGCCAATAAAGAAATATTTCAGCACCAATGATTTTGTGGCACCCAATTCTATAGAAGCCAGGGCCACAACATTTGGCTGGTCTTGGTAGCTGGACCAAAATCTGAGGTCCTCAGGACTTTCAGCACATGAGCAATAAGCTCCATGATGCTTGCAGGGGTTTACTCCCAGGAAACTACCCCTAAGATTGCAGTTAGGTCCTATCTAATTCATGTCTGAGTAGACAGTAAGACTGGGTCACTGACAGTGTGTTTTAACTTTGCTACTCATTGCCAAAACGGTCACCTCGCCCCCCAGAGCCAAAGGCTTCATACTGATCACAGAGACTCAAAATGGCAAGACTCAGCCCTCTGTGGAACTGGAAAGGGGAACAGATATCTTTCTGTACTTCTGTTGTAACCCCCAAAACTCATTGCAAGTCTTAAGAGATGATCCCCACTGCTTCCTCAACTCCAAGCTGGAGAAGAAAGGACAATGGAACATTCACCATGGTTAGTAAAACTGGACTGCTGCTCAGAATTAAGTTTTACTAATTTTCTGCTTTTTAGCACTGAATTTATTAGCTTGCTGCATTGTGCTTTAATTTTTAACATGGAAGGTGCCTTGAGCATCCTAGAAAAGGCAGGATATGAATATTTAAAATAAATTCAAGACATGTTTTTATAAAATTGCAGTTCTTACATAACACAGCCGCCTGCTGGTAGAAAATAGTAACAGCAGGTTGCAGGAGGAACAGCCTTTAATAAATATTTCAGCTGCCTGGGACAAATGAAGCAACTCTCCACATAATTAGGTGCTCCACAGCCAATGTGCTGTGATGGTTAAAGGGTTAGTTTAGAATGGGGGAAGACTTGGGTTCAATTCTCATTAGGTGAACTTGAGCCTGCCACCACCTCTCATGCACTATCCTCTTTTTTTATTTTTTACTTTACACAAGCTTTCTTTTGATAACAAAATCATTATTTATTTATATCCCACCTCCTCCCCCCCATGAGCTCAAGGTGGCGTACATAGTTTTGCCCCTTCTCATTTAATCATCACAACAACATCCCTGAGAATTGTTAGGCTGAGAGACAGTGGCTAGAAAGGGCTCAGGTCCATACAATTCTATGACTGGCCCAGGATCACCCAGTGAGGTGCAGAGCAGGGTTGGGATTTGAACCCTGGTCTCCTAAGTCCTAGAGGGACACGGGTGGGGGTTAAACCACGGAGCCTAGGACTTGCCGATCAGAAGGTTGGCGGTTCGAATCCCCGCGACGGGGTGAGCTCCTGTTGCTCGGTCCCAGCTCCTGCCAACCTAGCAGTTCAAAAGCACGTCAAAGTGCAAGTAGATCAATAGGTACCGCTCCGGCGGGAAGGTAAACGGCGTTTCTGTGCGCTGCTCTGGTTTGCCAGAAGCGGCTTAGTCATGCTGGCCACATGACCCGGAAGCTGTACGCCAGCTCCCTCGGCCAATAAAGCGAGATGAGCGCCGCAACCCCAGAGTCGGCCACGACTGGACCTAATGGTCAGGGGCCCCTTTACCTTTTACTCCTAAGTCCTAGTCCAGCAGTTTAACCACTACACCACACTAGTCCTCTAAATATTCTATGTATATACAATGAATACAAAATCTGGTATGGAGTGTATATTGCATCATCTCACATACAAATAAAGTGTGCTTTGAACACAGGAAAAGGTGGGACTGAAGTGCAACAAGGAAGACATGTGGACACTACCAACAAATTACATACAAACTGCATGTTCAACCCAGCCAATGGGTGCCAGTATTGCACCCTCCATATGTTGTAAAGAATACAACTTCCATTGTTACTGACCATTGACCATGCTTGCTAGGGCTGATGGGAGTTGCAGTCCAACAACAGCTTGAAGGCACCACACTGGCTACTCCAGGACTAAAAATACATGATTGTGCAGAAGGGCAGATGGAAAATAAGACAACTTGAATCCTGTTAAGTTCAATCAGCATTTCCTTTCTATAAATTCCTTAAGCTGTGAGAGAAGGGGGTACTAACACAGGAGTATCCTACATATAAAGCAAAGTGCTGAATATGTGCTACAATTATGGCAAAAACCATGCCTTTCATGGGCAGAGGGAAGCTGTAAGAAATAGTGTGAGACCTTGGCATTCCAAAACAACACAGAACTCACCAAAACGTGTTTGGGGCAGCCATTTAGTTCAGGGAGCTGGGACGTCAGGCATGCCAAAGGGCCTAGAGCACAAATGATTGAATCCAGGAGCACTGATAAACTTCCTGATACAGCTACCATACCCTGGGAAGGAAAAAAGGAAGTAGTAGTAGTAGTAAGAGATTTGTCTCGATGTCAGTTTGTTATCTTTGTCTTAAGCCCAGCACAGATTCTCTCATTCTCATGGAGCTGGCAACCGTGATTTGCTTATTGAAGCGCTTGTCAGGAGGTCGTCCTACTCTCGAGTAGGACTCTGGCAGAGACACATGCCCAACTGGCATGTTTTCTCCCTCCTGGTCGTTCGGGAGCTTCAAAAGCTTTCTTCAGCCTGAACATCACAGCGACCGATCCCAACAGACATCGACACTTAGGGATTCGCAGAGTCTGCGCAATTCCGTGACAGACCTCTGCAACTCAGCATTTTGGCTAATCGACTTTACATATAAACACACCCGGAGCACTGCAACATGGCTTCCTCTCTCTCTAGCATCAGATAGCAAAGAGGAAAAGAACAAAGGACAATAGTCCCACTTCATGGAACACAGTAACACAAACATCCTGTCTCCATCACTTCCCACTCTGTGGAGTCAAAACATACACCGTCATGTGAAAGACAACAATCCCATGACTGCAATCATGGAGCAAGAATTCTAACAGTGCTCTTCCCTTAGCAAAGATGAAGCTCAAATGCAGGAATGAAAGAACAGAGATGGAAGATATACTTTCTCATTTTTGAAGTTATTTCTGGCCACTTCTACTCAACACACCATGGCTGCAACCCTGTGCCCTATGTTTAAAGCACCAGGCAGAATGATAAATATGGGAACACAGCAGATGACAAAGCAGCTTTGCGCAAGATGCCAGTAATGTGCTCCCACCCTGTACTTCCTTACTGTGATGCTTAAATGTTTGATGTGCTGCTGCTGTCCTGCTGTGCACTGTACCTGGAGCTTCCATATAGTCATCATGACTACAAGACACAAATTAATGGCTATATGAGGGGTTGGAAAGCCTTTCCAGCTCAAGGGCTTCTTTCTGTTCAGGGAGGGGCAGGGGACACATTCTAGTAAAGGGCAGAACAATTAATGTAAATCTTATCTCTGTACAAGAGGCTGGTTTTTTTGACACCCCCTTCGAGGGCCCATCCAGGATGCAAAAGTCCTTATCAGAGTTCAAGGACTCATTCCAGCCAGACAAAAACAAGCAAGAAGTCTATCAAGCAGGGCTGGCGAGAGGCATCGCTGGGGAAGAGGGTGTATGGCTGGGGAGAGTCCCAAGATTCACGGACAGGACTGGAGGGTTGCATTTGGCCCCTGGGCTTAAGGATCCACACCCCTGGGCTGTTAAACATCCATGTTCAGAGGCAATAGATCTCAGTTTCATATCTTAGCAGGGTTTCCCAAACTTGGGTATCCAGCTGTTTGTTTGCTTTTTGGTCTACAACTCCCACCATCCCTAGCTAGCAGGACCAGTGATGATGAGAATTGTAGTCCAAAAACTGCTAGAGACATAACTTTGGGGAAACCCGTCTTCTACTAAGAACATAAGAGGAGCCTGCTGAATCAGACCATTCTGGTCTCTATTCAGTGTCCAACCACATACCCATGGGAAGCCCAGAAACAGAGCCTGACTGTAGCAGAAGTAAGTCATATAAACAAAGTTGGAAACAAAAAAATCACCTGAAAGCAAAAAGTAAATAAATAAAGAATACGAATAAAGGGAAATGTACTCAGGAATTGTATACCCAGACACAAAATGTAGTTAAACTAGTAAATGAGGGTAAAATCAATTTGGGTGGATTGTTACTTCATGCTACTTTACAATGCAAGAGCTTTTCACTCTTAATGGATTCATCATTTCAGGGCAAACTGTTTGGGTAGCTGCCAAAATCCCCATTTGGGCATTTTAATTTAATGTCATTAGCAGTAATGCAGGGCGTGTCATCTTGTTCTGCACAGGCAGTCATCCCAGAATGATGCCATGAAATGGCTGCGGGTAGTTTGTATAATAGACTAATGTGATCAACAGTTTCCATCTAATCCCTCAAACACAGCAGTAGCCAAGCAAGAGCTGTGTCTTATATGTATTTTGGAAAACATTTATTCTGCTTTATATATATATAAACCTTAGTTCAACCAAATATCTATATATTTATAGAATTGGAAACCATGAGATTTTTTTTTTAATGATGGCAACTCAGGAATGAAGCTTGATTAACCTGCAAAAGTGGAGTCTTGATACAGTGGTACCTCTACTTACAAACACAATTCGCACCCCAAAAAGTCCGTAAGTAGAGTGTCGCTACTGCGTGTGTGCGATAGAGCGCAGATCGCTTCACGCGTGCTGCGAACCCGGAAGTAAACAATTCCGGGTTTGCCGCGTTCGTAACCTGAAAAGCCGCAACATGAAGCAAATGTAACACGAAGTATGACTGTACACAAATAAGAGCCCTTGGAGCAAATAAAGTTCGTTCAATGTGGCACTGAATGCAGTATGCAGAACAGGCAAACTTGTTCAATTCAGCTTATTCCAATTAGTTATCTGAACTTTGTTACTAAAATAGCTCTGTTGTTTAAAAATGAAATGACTACATTTGTGTGCGAAGGTTCCTGCACCTACCTCTGTCTCCTGTAGCCTGTGGCCAATAAGACTTAGCGATTCACCCAGCAATTGCAGATGTGCAGCTACATCTATGGGATCCGTTTCAGGAACTTTGACAGGTGATGCAGACAGCACTACAGTGCTAGATGGAGACTTCTTATGGGGCGAAAGTGCCCCTGTTAGAGAAGCTGACAACAGAAAGTAAAAAAATTATTTCTGCATTTTCCATATTATGAAAACTCTGCATCAACTGCACAGTTTACATAGCCAAACTGTATGGCCATAGAAGTTCAGCCCACACTATTTCTTTAACTTACTTTATTTTTAATGCTGTTTTATTTATTTATGAATCATCTCTTACATTTGGCTCTAGCTGATTCACAAACATACCACAAAACAGCTAAAAAATAGTTTTCAAAATAGTACAAATAGCAAAAGATAGGTATTCATTTTTTACTGTTTTTACACCTTTTCATCCAGAGAGAGAAGCTTGTTGAAACAAAAACGTGTTCAATTGTTTTGCAGCTACAGTAGCCATAGCCTTAAGGAAACTGAGAATCAGTCTGTCCTTAATTATTCAGGTTTCACATTGTTGGCCTAATTTGTACAGATCTATTGGGAATTTGCTCCAACAGCATTTTTTGAGCAGCTTTATATTCTGTACCATATACCACACGTGGAATAACTTTCCCCAGAAAGATAATTTAAGTGCAGATCTTAGATTAACTCCTGAAAGCAAGCATAGTTTAATATGGCTTTACTTATAGGTTTGGAAGTCCTGTGGATACCCAGGTATGATTTTCATTAAACTGCATTCCTAAATATTGTAAGTCCTTAAAGTATTCCAAATTACAGTGGTACCTCGGGTTAAGAACTTTATTTGTTCTGGAGGTCCATTCTTAACTTGAAACCGTTCTTAACTTGAGGTTCCACTTTAGCTAATGGGGCCCCCCGCTGCCGCCGCTGATTTCTGTTCTTATCCTGGGGCAAAGTTCTTAACCCGAGGTACTACTTCTGGGTTAGCAGAGTTTGTAACCTTAAGTGTTTGTAACCCAAGGTGTTTGTAACCCGAGGTACCACTATAGAATTATTGTCTGTGTATGTTGCCTAGGCCTTTTATCAAGCAAAATAAGTTTTGTTTTAGCATAGATCAAAGGTAGATGTTCTTTTTTTTTCAAAATGAAAAGAATTCAAAATCTTAAAAGGGTCCCTCATACTATGCATGGATAAAGATACAAAGGGAATGCCATCTGCATAAAGCAACATGGAGGGTCTGCCATCTAAAGCTGTGTGGGATAAATACTGATGATCTTTGAAGATCCTGGATTACACACACACTCATAATGGACTGGCAGACACCCTCGTCTTACACTTGAACAGCCTCATTTTAAGAATGGTATGTAAGAAACAGTGGAATATAGAGGTTACCTTTCAGTTTTGGTGCACCCTCTGATGAGGTTGCTTTCCTCTTCACTGTTGTAGCCTCTGCTTTATTCTGCTTGTGTTGCAAATACTGCGCCTTCTGCTTCCAAACCTGAAAAGAATAGGGAAAACAAAACTAGTGTTAAAAAAGGCAACATCAGCTGTCCAACCACACAGATGGAGCAATTGTAAAGCAGGATGTCTGGCCGTGTGTGTGTGTGTGTGTGTGTGTGTGTGTGTGAGAGAGAGAGAGAGAGAGAGAGAGAGAATGAATGAATCAATACCGAACATTTCCCATTCACAAGCAGGGGTAGGTGATATGCAATACACAGATTTGGAAGGTAATAAATACAAGAACCATGGTGGCAGTATTCCAGGACCAAGTCAGTTTTCTGCCTACACGTATCATTTTCTGTACAAATGTTTATCAGATATTTACCAGCTTATCTTTCTCCGGAAGCTGCTTCCAAACTTCTGCCAGCTTTTTGCTCAGATCACCAAAATCTAATGGGAAATCAGAGAAAGTAAGCCATTCAGAGAAAAGCAGAGATTTTCTATGTACATTCAGTTAACTACTTGAACCATTATAGGACACATTGTTTACAACACATATGACGCTAAAATATCTCATTATTGCCTGCATACATGGAAAAACAATCTATGGAACAGTTGCAAATATATCACAGTGAGGAATTTGAGCAAGAACATAAGAAGAGCCCTGCTGGAACACACCAGAGACCTAGCTAGCCCACCACTTTTCCCCACAGGAGCCAACTACATGTCTATGGAAAGCCCACTAGGAGAACATGAGTGCAGCACCACTCCCACTTTTGTTCCCCAATGAACAATATTTAGAGGTATACTGATTCTGGAGGTATCACATAGCCATCATGAAAAGTAGCCTTATTCTCTATGAATTTGTCTAATCCCCTTTTTAAAGCTCCCTTACATTAGTGGCTGGTCTAGTCCATCCCACACAATGTTGTAATGCATGTTATATGGTCAGGACTTGGGACAAAAAGTGGAAAGGAGCAGGAGCCAAGAAATTCAGAATTCTATGCTTGGGAGTATATGTGACAGCAGAATGGAAGGTAATTTCTACTGCTATGCATATATGTGGCATTTTATCCTGTCATCTACCCAGAGAAAAAATATTGTATGTCTGCCTACCCTCCTAGTATTCACAATTTAAATGCTAACATGTTTGTTCCTAACAAGGGTGCTAATCATTTTTGGTTTATGACATAAGCCACAATTGCCCATTTCTAACAGGGATCTGGAGGTCTGATATGGTTGTGTTTCTTAAGTTTGGAAAAACCACACCCTTCAGTCCCTTTACATGGGGTTCTGCAGAGGAGACAAGTATGCTGATCTAGACTCCCCAAGCTCCAAAAGTCATGTGCACAGAGCCATCTTGAATCCTTTGAAAGAGCCTGAGTAAAGGACTTTTGAATGCCCTGCTTGATAATCACACCTTGACCAAGTAGTGAAGAATGGCATTTGCATTACAACCCTTAGTGCCATTTTTATTTCTGCTGCCACTTTAATACCAAAGAGACGGCCCAGAATGATTGGTTATATGCTTTCTGAAAAAGTGTATCGCCCAGATTCATAATGGGAACACAGAGCCTTCGCTGGAGCAGACAGAGTTCTTTCAAACATTTAAACATTTCTTCTCCGCAGCTTGTGCTTTTGTTTTGCAGTGGCCCAGTGGGCAGGATCCAACATCATGCCAGTAAAGATGTCAGGCATTCCCCTACCTATCTCTCCCCTGCCTCTCCTTTCCAAAAGGTCCCCCAATTCTTTGGAACAGATTTTGGGGGTATACAGGTGGGCTGCAGGGGGAAAGAGAGAAAGTGAAGTGCAGTGTGTCCAAGCGGGATGCCACAACTGGGTATCTCCCAAACCTTGCCGGACACTTCTATTACCTATTCCTGGATGCTCAGCCACAATGTTCACACGATACTCTTTACAGAATACTTGGTAGGCAGACATGTTCTTCTTCTTTGGCTAATCAGGAAGAGGAAAAAGAAAGCAAGAAGTTTATGTTGTAAAATATTCAAGCTCCTTTAGAAATCCCCAAAGAAAATAATCTCCTGGTGCATTCTCTTAGACAAGTTAGGAGTGGGTTAATTTCAAGCTGACTTTTTGTATGATGTATGTTATCTAGCTACTTATATTCATACTCAGTCCTTGAGGTCATTGTTGGAGACCTCTCTGAGTTGTAGTGCCAAATGAGACCCAGAGGATGGATATGAAAGAGAAGATATTCTCTGTGGCAGTACTGCATCATCTTTCTCAAAAAGGCATGTCTGGTGCATACTTGGTAACCTTTTCAGTACCAGGCAAGTACTCTTTTATTTTCCCATGCTTTTTAATGGATTTTTAATCAGTAGATTGCTTAGCATCAAGGTTATTTATATCAAAAAGGAAAAAAGTCAATGTAAGTCTGATTTAAACCAAGTTTCCTACTGATACTTCTTCCTATTTCCTAAACAATGGTGGGAATCTGACTATTAACACATGTTAATTTACAACTAAGCAATACCATTTGTTGTTACTATTTTTAATGCATTTTTACAACTTATATATACATCATACAATATTCATCATTTATCTCTTATCTTCAGACTTTCCAGTCCATCTCTCTCCATGGCATTCTTGGTAGTCTTTTGTCAGCTGCATATTCTATTATTCCACCCATTCCTTTAGTTAGTGTGTGTCTTCCTTTAATTAGTGTTATTTGCTGCTCATATGTGTTCATTCCTACTTGTAGGTTAAATTGACTATTATACCCTCTAAGATACTCTTCAAAGCACTTCCACCCATCTTATCTGTGACTCATCCTTATTTCTTAATTTCACAGTTACTAATTCTGTGTATTCTATCAATTTATTCTGCCAAATTTCTTTTGTATCTCTTTCTTTCATTTTTTTTGATATACTACTCTAGCTGCGGCAGTCATAAACAATACCATTTAAACCACTCTTTCTTTCTTACAACTAGGCCTTGCATCGCTTTGTTGCACTGTTCCTTCTCTACTGACAGCTAGAATGTATTTAACCCCTTCCCATATAGACCATCTTGGCTATGAGTCCTGGAAGACTTGCTCCCTGCCTTGCAGGCCTTTCTCTACCTGGCCTGGGAGGACAGGGCTGTGACTGACTCCTGCTACAAAAGCTGAGGCTGCTGAACAGAATCTTGGACTGAGGCATTGTTTAAGTGGGGGGTTTTTTTTGGGGGGGGAGTGTTGCTGTTAATTTTTTGTATCTTTATTTTGTATCTTATGAGTTATGTGGAAATGGTTCCATTTGGTTGTGTACTTTTTGATGTCTTGTTTACGGCTTATGACTACTTTTGCCAGTAATTTTTTATATGTTGTAAACCATGGCTTGAGTGTGGTTTAACTTTAGAAAGGCAGCATACAAGTAAAATAACTGATTGACTGATATTGGGTCTTTCTTACAATAAGCCCCATAACAGTATACAAACAAAGTTAAGTATGGGGATATACTGCACAGTGGGCATTTTTGTTTTCTCTTCTTTCCAGTATGGATCTTCTCTGCTTCACTCTTACCTTGATAGGTAGACGTCTGAAAGGTACTGGGCAGACTACAGCAATTTATTTTCATTAGGTTAAATTGATATGCCTATGTTTGGCAGGTAGAGTATACATATTCATATTGCAGAAAGGATCCAATTGGTTTTTCATTTACATAAAAGCTTTTTTTCAAACTCAGTGTGGGCTATATCTCACTACATCATAACTTAGTATTATTAATTTCCATGGGTATACTCTGCATAACTTAGTTGGACAGCATCCTGTATCTGGTAGAGACATTGATTTAATTTAGACGTTTACTGTAGGGCCAGTGTTCGAAACTCCCATTGTTCTAGTTGCATTTTGCGACAGGGAATTTCATTAGAGCGAGCAGCTTCTGAGTTCTGGGCGCAGTACTGAGCCTAAGATTTCAGATTAAAACTGCAAAGTGGAAAGAAAGGAGGACCTTTTTCTGCCTCCCCACTTCCAGCTACTTTCTGAAGACCGGAGAAGAGACCCTCTTAAGAATATTAGGGCGGTGGGCAGGGGAAGGACTAAGCCATGTGAAAAATGAACATAATATTTTAGTTGCAGTTCATTCATTTTCAGCTTTGTATTATTGTTATTAAAAAAGCAAACCTAGACATTCCGTTGTTGCACCTATAACCTAGGTTTAAGGTGCCATTTAGTTCATAGCTTTCATATCTGTTTCTAACACTGTGTAGGGCTATCATGCTTCTATCAGGCTTAGTCATTATTAGTTATTATTATTTAGTTATAGTTCTTATTGAAGAGAAACACAGTAGAGATATTTTTTTTAAAATGCAGTGTAAACAAAAAACCCCTGATTTATTACAAATGTAGATTTTTTATCCACACTGGTTTTTTGTGCATTTTGAGGTTTTGATTTTAAAAGTTTCAATGCCTATTTGTATTTAACTTTTATTGATTTTTATCTGGTGTGGTGTTTTATACTGCAATTTTAAAGTTTCTTATTTTATTCTGTAATTGTTTTGCTATTCTCACTGTATTTTATCAATGTTTATATACATGACTCAAAGAGCTTCAGCTACTGGGCAGTACAGGGCTGCCATCAATGAATAAAATAGCTACTTCTGCCAGCTACTTTTACCTAAATATTTCTAAAGCAGAAACCAATTTGTTTCAATGTTAAACACCTTGGGGGGGGGGAGAAGTGTACTCCTTTAGAGTGTTTTTGCTTATCTGCAGTTCAGAAAGACAACAATCAAGATAATTTATATATTTGGTTCCTATTTCTGAAGTTAACTAACAAAACTGCAAAGAACAGTCTAGAGCCCTCTATTTTGGGAACAACAGTCCTCAGCATTTCTAATCACCCACTTGTGCTGCCACTTTTTCCTTTTTACCTTTTCTTTGTCCATTTTTTCAACCTTCTCCTTTTCTTCTTTCTTCTTCTTCTTCTCACTCTGGCCATCTGTATGGAATACAGGTGGCGGTGGAGGTGGTGGAGGAGGAGGGGCAGGAACGGCAAACTGCGCACTGGTTGGAGAGACTGGGAGTGGAGCTGTTACTTCTGCTGCTGCCAGTGAAGAGGAAAGCCCAGAAAGCCCAGAACTCTTCTTGGATTTGGAATGCTTCTTTTCCTTGTGTTTCTCCTTGTCCTTCTTCTTTTTGCTCTTCTTTGATTTCTTCTTCTTCTTTATCTCCCGGTACGAATCATCAATTACTAGCTCTCCAGCTTCCAGTTCACCTCCAGAGGAGGAACCTGATTCCGCTTGTGGTTCCAGGCTTGAAAGCTCAAATTCACTGCTTTGGCCTTCAGGGAAGAGGGGTGTGTCTGGGCTAAAGCTCTCAGCGGCTGGAGAGGGATGCGGCTCCTTCTCCAGTGGTTTGTGCTTCTTTCGGGATGATTTCGAAAAGCCGTGCGAATCATGACTTGGGAGAAATGATCCCTGCTCGTCCCGAGCTGACTTCTTAGAGGATTTCTTTGTGGCTGACGGATGTGGAAAGGGCTCCTCCGTTGTGCTTCCCCCCTTCTCCTTCGGTGAGAGGATGAGTTTCATCTTTAAGCCATCAGGTTCACGCAAGGTCAACATTTCAGTGTTCACATAGGGGGGCTTCACCTTTTTGGACTTGTGGAAAGTACTTTCATCCAAGGACAGGTCACTGCTACTGCCACTCAGTTTTTTCTTGTGGTGTTCCTTCTTGCCTTCTGAATGGCCAGAGGCAGAGAGTGAAGAATGAGATGACTTTTCAGATGTTTTCTTCGAGGACTTGGAGCTTGTGGCCAAAGGCGAGGTGATGGCCTTAAGCAGATCCATGGCAGTGTCAGCAGAGGGTGGGCTTGTCACTACTTTTTTCCTCTTCTTTGCAGACGATTCCAAAGGCAGGGATAACTCAAATGAAGAAAGTTCTGAAAGAGTTCAGAGAAGAAGGATCAATGGAAGTATACCCAACAACAAGGGCATCTTCACTTGCACACCGTCATAACTTCGGGGCCTCATGTCCGGGTGAAGCTATCCTACAGTAAATCAATTTTGGTTTATAAATCAGTGAGGCCAATTGGTGAGGCTGAAATATAAGGACACATTGGTTTTTAAGAGGCTGTTTTGTTTCTGGTGTATTCAGTAATGGTTGGCAGCTCTTACCTGACCTGTGAGTGGTGTCAGTGCAATGTTCTGGGAGAGGGGAGGTGGCAGTGATAAACAAACACACTGACAGCTGATCTTGCCTCTTCTCCTATTGGTAAGCCAGTGACACCTGTGATGGGAGGCCAGGTATGAAAGTCGACTTACAAATAAGTTGGTGAGGCTTATTTGACAGCAATACAAAACCAAGCCTCGACCGAGCCCTGTGGAATACTCTGCCAATAGATTTATCAGCACCTTCCGTTTCAACCTTTAAATGCCTGCTGAAAACCTTTCTATTCAACAAGGCTTATTCAAGCAATTCAGAATGCCTATTTCCATAACAGTTAGCTGATTTCTGACTTTTAAATTTTATTTGTTGTTTATTGTATGGTTTTATGTGTGACTGTTGTAAGCTACTCTGATGCTATTTATGAACAGTGGTATATAAATATTTTTATAAGTAAATGAAAATAAATTAGCTGTCAAAGTGAATATGCAATATATACAGCTGCCTCCCTTTCACTGATTGGCCTCTCCCTTCTCTATCTTTAGAATGGAAGCTTTGTGGAAAAAGACCTGGCCTCTCACTTTACCTCCAGGAAGCACAAAGCCTATTGGCAGAACCTTAGAAGTACAAATTGAACCTTAAAATCACTGCTCAACTTTTCTCCTTTGTCATATCCCTTCCTATGTTGCTTCCACTCTTACCTCTGTAATAGTACTCATTGGAGTGCTTCCTCTTCTTCTTATAAGTGTCTGTCCCCAGCAAGAAAATGTCACTTTCCTGCAAAAGAAGATAACAGCACTTTAGAAAGAAAAAGAACCAAGTAATGAAGGCATATACATATTACTTTCTAATACAGATGATCATAGACGTCACATTAGCTAACAAATATGCTCTCTATGGCATGGCATTTCTGTGCTTTGAAACAGAAGATGGTCTGAGTTGCCATGTGAATTTTAGAAATGATATTCTCAAGAGAAAGCAGAAATTCCCTGTTTAAGAGCGGAAAACAACTTTTCCAAGCTGAAGATTTAGAAAAAAAACAAAAGCAAAGCTCAATAATCACCTCTAGACTAATAGGAGAGATTTCAGGTCAAAGGAAATGTTTTGAGGAAAAGCTGTCTGTGTTAACATCCCCAGGGAATTGAATGAGGTAGATCACACCTCATTATTTTTCAGGCTACCTGCAGAATCAGGCAAACAACAACATATCAGTTTGCATCCTGCAACAATATAATGATGACCTATGATAAGTGCAATATATTCTGAACAAAAGGCTAAATTAATTGTAAATAATGTGGTGACGGAAGAATTTAAGATAGAAAAAGGGACACGACAAGGTTGCCCAATCTCCCCATTGCTTTTTATATCGGTCCTGGAGGTTCTGTTGAATATGATAAGAAGGGACCAGTTGGTTAAAGGTATACAGGTCGGAACCAAACAGTACAAATTGAGAGCATTTGCAGATGACTTAGTATTGACGTTACAGGAGCCAGAATCTAGTACCAAAAGGGTTTTAGAACTGATCCAAGAATTTGGTCAAGTTGCAGGATTTAAATTGAATAAGTTAAAGACTAAGGTTTTAGAGAAAATTTAACACCAATGGAGAGAGAGAGGTTTCAGAATGAGACAGGTTTAACAGTGGTTAAGAAAGTTAAATACCTGGGGATTAACATGACAGCAAAAAAATGGGAATTTATTTGAAGACAACTATGAAAAATGCTGGGCTGAAGTGAAAAAAGATTTAGAAATTTGGTCAAATTTGAAGCTTTCACTGCTGGGTCGTATTGCTGCGGTAAAAATGAATGTATTGCCTAGAATGTTGTTTTTGTTTCAAACATTGCAAATTGTGGACAAAATGGACTGTTTCAAGAGGTGGCAGAGAGATATTTCTAGATTTGTCTGGCAGGGCAAGAAGCCTAGAATAAAATTTAAAATATTAACAGATGCAAAGGAAAGAGGTGGATTTGCCCTGCCAGACTTTAAACTTTACTATGAATCAGCAGCTTTTTGCTGGTTGAAAGAATGGCTGCTTCTTGAAAACACTGACATTTTGGATCTAGAAGGTTTTAACAATGTATTTGGATGGCATGCATATCTGTGGTACGATAAGGTCAAAGCACATAAAGCATTTAAAAACCATATTGTCAGGAAAGCATTGTTTAATGTTTGGATAAGATACAAGGACTTATTGGAAAATAAAACCCCAAGGTGGCTGTCACCGATGGAAGCGAAAGCTCTGAAAAAGCTCAATATGGAGGCCAAATGGCCGAAATATTGGGAAATTTTGGAACAAGATGGAGATAGATTGAAATTGCAGAGTTTTGAAAAACTAAAAAACAAAGTGCGAGACTGGCTTCATTATTATCAGATAATGGAGGCATACAATTTGGATAAGAAAATCAGCTTCCAGGTGGAAAAATCAAAATTAGAAACAGAATTGTTAGAACCCAAAACTAAGATTTTGTCAAAGATGTATAACTTGCTGTTGAAATGGAATACTCAGGATGAAACGGTGAAATCTGCTATGATTAAATGGGCACAAGATGTTGGATATAACATAATGATGGCTGACTGGGAACAGTTATGGACCACAGGTATGAAGTTTACGGCATGTAATGCCTTAAGAGAGAATATTATGAAAATGATATACAGGTGGTACATGACACCAGTCAAGCTTGCAAAAATCTACCATTTGCCCGATAATAAATGTTGGAAATGTAAGGAAACTGAAGGTACATTCTTTCACCTTTGGTGGACGTGCCCAAGGATTAAGGCTTTCTGGGAGATGATATATAATGAATTGAAAAAGGTATTTAAATATACCTTCTTGAAGAAACCAGAGGCCTTTCTCCTGGGCATAGTCGGCCAATCGGTGTTAAAGAAGGACAGAACTTTTTTTATGTATGCCACAACAGCAGCAAGAATACTCATTGCAAAGTACTGGAAGACACAAGATCTACCCACTCTGGAAGAATGGCAGATGAAGGTGATGGACTATATGGAATTGGCGGAAATGACTGGCAGAATCCGAGACCAGGGAGAAGAGTCGGTGGAAGAAGATTGGAAGAAATTTAAAGACTATTTACAGAAATATTGCAAAATTAACGAATGTTAGAATGATGTTGGATTGAAGTTAAGTGGTTTCTAGCTGTAATGGTATAAAAGAATATGAAAGAATTGGATTTTTAACAGGTAAAAATTTAATGCTATAATATATTAAGATTAAGGATCAGGATAAAATAAGGAGGGAAAGGAATTGCTGAACTAATAAATTGAACTGGAATACAAAAAGGGAGGTATGAGGAGGTCCGGGAAACAAGCAAATGAAAGATAAGTGACAAAAAGATGGAATTGTTTTTAACTGTTTTTTATTTTGTATTTTTTCTTTTTTCTTTTTCATTATGTAATATTGTGAAAACTTTAATAAATATTTATATATAAAAAAATATATATAATGATGACCTATGTATCCAAAAGAATAATTTCTATTCTGTAATGATCATTCAATCTCTAATTCAAACAGCAGTTTAAGATGAGTGGATGATAAAAAGTTACATTCATCTCATCCTAGTTTTTAGAAGGGGATACCATTTTATTGAACTTTCTAAAATAGGGAAATAGTATGACTTCTACATCTGTTTCTATAACCCCAAGAATCTTGTTCTCTCATTTCTCTTAATGTGGCATTTACTACCAACAGAGCAGTTCAAATTGGGCTGGGAGAGGCAAAGTTGGACTGACAAGCTTTTCTCATTCTCTTCTCAGACTCTCTCACCTTCAGCCTCTTCTGTGAATTCTTCCTGACCTGAGCAGCTATCTCCTCCTCTTCTCGAAGCAGGTCCTTGTAGGAACGTTTCTTTTCTCGCTGGGTTCTGCCAGCTACTAGTCCCACGCCATCAATTCGGTCACTCTCTAAGCAGTCTGAAGGAGGAAACACTGGCGTGGTCAGAAATAATCAAGGCACGCTCTCACAACTGTCACTGTGGCCAAAGATAAAACACAATACACAAGAGGAAGCAAGCAGTCACATACACACACATACACACAATCTACTCACTACTGTAAAGCACTGCCCCAAACCTTTAGGGAAATGCTTTAGGCTGCCGTATCAAAGGCTGAAGTTTTATTCCTACTCTTGGGTTCCCCCCCCCTTGGATAGCAAGAACTGAAAAGGCTTCTCAGCCAAATGAGGACCTAGGCATCTGTGTTGTGCTGTGTTGAAGGTCTGGATCCAGTCCCCAATCCAATTATAATTCTACGGAGCTGACAAGGGTTAGGAAGTGTTGCTTGTTGCCAAGCCTGATAAAAATTAATCAGCACTTTGGAGCTTGTGAGACTCATGTTTCAATCCAGGTACACTTAACTTTCTGAGTACAAGGGAGGGATCTGGAATGCTGCAGAAACCCAATCCATGCAGGACACTGGCTTTCTTTCTTAGTCTCTCACTCCACGGACTGGGGGGGGGGGTTGTACTTTCCTCGTAACACCTCTCAGACTATGAAACAATCCTACCTTCTTTTTTCTTGGAGTCATCATAAGCCATGGTGGTCCTGCAGGGGCCTGGGAATGTGTTGCCACGCCTGGGCTCCTTCCCCCGTTCCCGTCTACAGGACAAGGTCTAAGAAACAGAGAATGAGAATAACCCTCCCATAAAGTGGAATCATAATGCAGAAAGGGACTGAATGAAGATTTTTTTTTTTAAAGAATGAAATGGGAAGCAGGAGGGTGAAGTGGTGTGCCTTCTCAGCAGTTTATCTTTATCCTCCAGACATTCCAGGACTTGGAGAAAGATCCCAGATTCAGCAGGCAGTTTGGTTTAGCTGATTTTCATGTTAAAAGGCAGGAGAGCAATGTTTTTCAAGGTGAGAACCAAGCCTCTGTTCCACTAGTTTTAAACAGATTAACACCATGTGATCTTTTTCAATGAAACACAAGGACAGTGACCAAATAACTATATTGGGCTTTTGTATTGTTACAATGTGTTCAGGGTGAGTACTGTATTGAATCCTGCATTTTTTAAAGGAAAGTGTGTAAGAGCCATGGAGGTGAGGGAATGAGAGTTTTATAATCTCTTATACTAGGATAAAGTGAATTGACTGGAGAGAATAATTTAATTTTTCAGTCCTGTGTGATGTTCAGTGATATCAAACTTTAGAGGCTAGTGATGGTGCAGCAATAGCAGGCATTAGTCCTATTATTCCCACAGGTGTTGTTCAGAGTACCAAACTGGGGAAGGAAAAGGGAAGGAAAAGGAGGAGAAAGAGAGAAGACTGAAAGAAGCATCCTTTTTCCAGGGCCTCTGCAGCATTTCCAGTCTCTGTCACCTCAGATGCTCAGGATTTCCCCAACCTGCCTCAGGAAGGATACTGATTCAGGAAGTGGGGCACTTGCTATTTCTGTTCTTGAATAATGCTTTATCCCCCTTAAAATGACAGACATTCAATATCTGTCAAAGCATAGTTGTGCAGTTTTTATTTTGAGTCTCACAATAATTTAAAAAGATTCAGCTCCTGAATAAACATGATTTCCCCTGTATAAACCATTTGAATTTTGAATGCATTTATACACAGCTGTCATAAAAATGCTGAATTAAAGCATAGGTTCTTAAAAAGGGGGAGTTTTTACCTCCTTATAGTAATGTATTTTACAAATAATACAAAAATACAAGATGTTAACCAATGTCAGCTGTTAGAGATATTAATGTAAACTAGTGGGTAAAGTTCCTGAAGAATATTTCAACCTGTGAATGGAATATTTCATCTGATAAAGAAGACTTTGAAGAAAAGTTATCTGCATATTAGAATTCCCTCATTAATTCTTTATGATGCATTCATAACAAATTCACTAACAGAATAAAGGGAGCTCAGAAACCTTGCTTTTGCATATACCGGTAAGCTAGAAAACAAGCCTCTACTTCTTCATGTACCATACTGAAAGGTCAGGCCTCACACAGACAAGCATACAATAAGCTGTAACTCAGCAGAATTGGTCCCTGTACAAAGCAGGGCTCCCTGGTTATAGGCAGAAAGGACTGGACGATTTACAGGATTGACAACTCAATTCTATAGACACTTATTTAGCAGTAGGTGGGCTTGAACAAAGTAGGATTTACTTCTGAGTAAACACTTGGAGGAGGACGCTGCAAGCCCTGTAAAAATGGGTGTTCACAACCAGCGCTTGCAAGTTACCTCTCAAGTGATTTTAACAACCCCAGCAATTTAATTTTGTTACATCATGCAGCCATCTTTCATAGGAATACTTCTGAGGCTTCCAACTTGCCAGTAGTGGATAGGCTGTCAAGCATTTAACTACAATGGTTATCAGCAACAGTTTTAAATGACATGGTGCCTGGAAGAGTGGTATACCACAAGCAGTACGGGAACAGTATCACCCATACCATGAAGTCCACACAGGCGTTGGCTATTTATGTGAAGAAAGGCATCCACCCATTACTCTACTGCAAGGGACTTACGAAGTTGCATGGTTTTATAAGATCAGAAAGGGGCAACTCATGTTTCCAGCGTTATTCTCCTACTAACAGCTCTATTTGTTCATACGTCTGGATTAGCTCAGTTGGCAGAGCATGAGACTCTTAATCTCGGGGTCATGGGTTCGAGCCCCAGTTGGGCAAAAGATTCCTGCATTGCAGGGCTGTTGGACTCTTGGTCCCTTCCAACTCTACAATTCTACTAGCAAGCGTCTGAATATTAGGGCCAGCAGATGCTTATTTCCAGACACGACACCCTTAGAGAATAGGCGGACACCCAAGCCCATGTTGCAAGTCCTGGGCCAGCTCTTTACTCTTGACCTGGAGCCCAATCATGCCCCGCTGCTTCCTTCTGGCTGGGTCAATGCCTGCATTTCTCCCCCATTCAGGACCAGCCTGCCACCATCCCATTCATTCATTCTGGGCATCCAATCGAAGCTCCACAAAGGCCACCGAGTTCGGAGCCCGGCAGCGGAGCACATTCCGGCTTGACACCAGAAAAGGATGCCAGAGATCCAGGAGCAACAACACTCCTTTTGTCTGAGGAAATCAAATCAAATAGTTTTAAAAAGTAGGGAGGATCGTTTCCATCGCTCCCGACAAAGGGAAATGCCTCGATTATTATCGCCCCAGTGGCCGGAAAACAGCAGCGGGCGGAGCCTGCGGGCCGCTGCACGGAGCAGCATCTGAACCCAGAGCTGGCAAGAGCAGCGGCCAAGCCCGCGTCGCCGGCCGCTTCCTCACCTGCGGCTGCTGCTGCCCATTTCTGAACTGCACCTGGTCCAAGCGGCGCAGCGACGCCCTCTGTCGGCAAACCCCGCTCGCCCCCGGGCTGCCCAGGCGCCACGCCCACTGCGCATGCGCACCCGCCCCTCGAGGGGGTGGGGGCAAGGACCCCGCGCGACCCCTTTCCCGCCTCCTCAGTTTGAACTGGCCCCGGCCGTTGGCCGCCCTGTGGCCCCTCGCCCTTCGCGCGCTCACCCCAGGCGGGCTTCAGAAGCCTCCGGAACGGGGAGGAGGGATTTGTCGACGCAGCGAGTGGCGGCGGGCAGATAACGGAGCGACCTGCCCCCTCCCGTCAGAAGTTTGCCTTCCCTCCCCCGCGGCGGAAGGGGGTGGGGGAGCGGCCAGCCTCAGATCGCCTCGCCGCTTCGAGCGGCCGCCATCTTGGTGTGGGAAAGGGACGCCCGCCAGTTTCAGCCGCTAAGGCGAAGCAGCCGAGCGCCGAGCTCCTCCGCTCTCGACGCCGTTAAGAGAGCAGAGGCTGGAACCTGGCGCCGAGTGCATCGATTTGCCAGGTGTTTGGGCTTCTGCGAGTGAAGTGCAAAAGCCGGTGCTCAGGATGCTATCGAGCGGCGGTTCTAGGACCCTTTTGAGTTGCGATTTTTATTATTCTTCAGAAAATGGGAAAGCAAATGTACATCAGAATCTGGGGAGCCTGTAGTTCAATCCTAGGCATGCCTGCTCGGAATCAAGTCCCCGTATATGTACAGAAATGGGACTTTCCTCCCTAAGTTTTGTGCAGAATTTCGGTAACTACAGTTGAATACAGTAAACCTGTGTAGCGTTGCTCGTTCTTAAATACGTGAATACAAAGAGGCATTTGCTAGTGATTTGTTTTTTTGTTTGATTAAAGGCTTCCTCGTGTACCTAGACGGCAGTTGGCGGTGTGGCATAGGTCTCACTACGATTCTCAAAGGAGGTTTAAGCAGTTATGTATAGGGGAAAACAGGGAACTCAACCTTAGTTCAATTTGTGATCAGCTCTTAATTGGATCAGGACATGGAGCAGGTATGGGAAAATAAGAGGAAGGAATAATTTAACCTGAACTCTCAGTGTCCCTCGGTGTTTCCCTCGGTGTCCAATAAGAGAATGTTAGCGCCCCACTTTTTTCAATCAAGTGTTCACCCAGTGTTTACTCTCTGTTGGGGTTCACCACTGTTGTTACTCAAAACTAAAAAATGTTTACACTAGCACATTGTTGTTGTTGTTTAGTCGTTTAGTCGTGTCCGACTCTTCGTGACCCCATGGACCAGAGCACTCCAGGCACTCCTGTCTTCCACTGCCTCCCACAGTTTGGTCAGACACTAGCACATTACATCATTGCTAACCACTTAGACATCACTCCTCCCCAAAGATGAAACGTGTTAGCAAAAAAAAGGGGGGGGGGCACAAATTTGCACATCCTGATTTATCTAAATCTATGCACTTCTCATAACAAGTACTACAGTTTATATTGAAATGCAATACATTTCACCATAGTGGAGAAGACTGTGACCTAGGAGCATGCCTAGTCTGCTGTCCAGCTTCTAACATTCAATGGGCAACTTCAGGACCCCACCCTCCTTTCTGATAGTTCTTTATCTTTAATCTGAGTTGGACCAAATAGCCCTTTAAATAGAGGACTCATCAATTGGAGGACTGCCCTGACAGTCATTCATTGCCTATTATCTCTTCTGAGCACAACCCTGAAGGACAGTTTTCATAGGTGCGGTTTTTTAGGGAAATGATCTCATGGGCCAAATTTGGCACCCTCGAAGGCCAAAATTGACCCATGGGCTGGAGGTTCTTTACCCTGGGATAATATAATCCACTATTGTTTACCTGTCAGTTTTCCCCTTAAAACCACTTCTGCCTCCAATTAGTCATTATCATGTAAACAAACCCAGAACTGCTTCAAATTACAAGGGCTATGTAGACAAGCTCTCAATAAACACAAGTGCAGGAAGCAATTCTAGCATTAGAGGCTGAAGGAAGTGTATTTTGTATCACATCTGTAAACCAGGATGATGATGACATAGAATAGATAAGACAGACATATGATTAGTGAGTAGGGACAGGGAATGTGTAGAAAGCTTTTCTCTCTGCTTCCAAGAATTAGGCATAAATGTACTTCCTTTGAAGGTTAGTTATTATAGCAAATGGTTTACAGGCATGGTTAGGTTGCGTTCCAGATTGTATGTGGGTGTGAGAAAGCATATGTTTTCCTTTCAGTCTTAATCATAGAAATGTCTCGTTTCTTTGAAGGAAATGAATTTTAGTCATTAGAATTCAAATCACTTTGCTACATGAAGTTACTGAAATGTTGTCTATACCACACACAAAGCTTACATGATGAGCTCACTTTTTGCTCCTCTAGTTTCACAGAAGTGTTTTGAAAATTCTATTATGTGTCTTCCAAGCCAAATTATGAAAATGAGTGACACAGGCTATGTCACTATTGCAGCAACATCACAGAGAGTGGCTTCCTATATTTAGCAACTCTACGTTGCAATTCTGTTGCAAATACATAATGAAAGGTTGTTTCCAAATAAAATGCACATACACACATGCTGACGTATGTGACTTCAGAAAGTCTTTGGACAACTAATACTGTTTTGTAACTAAGCCAAAGTACACGTAATCGAAATAATCACATATCCTCCCCCCAACGCTTATCACCACTTCCCTTCTCTTGCTTCTCTATGTCTGTTTTTCTCCTGGGGTGGGGATCTGACCTGTTCATTATGTATGGATGGATGCCACTAAATAGATTATATGGCAGGTATATCTGTGCCTGCAAAAGGACAATTTTGAGCATTATAGTGTGCTCCCAGTTGATCCTCTGTAAGTAGGAGTTGAATTCAGCACCTTTTAAATTTGTCACCAAATACAAGCTCTGCCAGGTGTTTAGGAGCTCCTGATCAGGGCTTCTAAATGCATCTGATCCCAGCCACAAGTTGGATTTGCTCAAGGTGCTGAATTTAAGTTTAGCACTGCATACAAGCCATGCTGGACTTAGCTGCATGCAGGAAATTGCACATTTCCCACACGTAGCTGATTGAGGGCAGCTGATCCCTTTCACAAGCAATAGTTTGCCCTTTTGGTTTATGCACTGCTATTTTAAGTTCCAGTGTCAGTTAATGAAAAGTAAATCCCTTGGCCATTGTAGGTTTGAGAACCAGAACAGAATCCAGTTTAAGTTTCAATAACATTCGTAGATGATTACTGAGGGAAGTTCCATTGAATTCAGTCAAATTTACTTCTGAGTAAATATACATAGAATAGGGCTGCTAGCTAGCATGATACACTTGCATCCAAACTTGTACCTTCACTGTAAAACTGGTATATCAATTTCTATCTGTGTAAAGCCATATTTTATTATGTGCTGCAGCAAAACAGTTTTACACTCTTCCACAAGTATTAAATCAGCTTGAGAGGCTTTTGGATCTGCTCCTTCAATAACACTGCTCCTTCTCTCTTATTCCACCACAATAATAGTCCTTTTTTATTCTATGGACATGAACAAACAAATAAAGAAATCAGAAAGTCTCCCACACACTGCCTATTTTGGTCGTTGTCAGTTTGCTTATTTATTTTCCATTCTGTAATTGTTTCTGGTTGAAGAAACCTGAAGAAAAGATTATGATGACTAATAGATTTGCACATTATCAATGCTCAAACACCCCCATAAACTGCTCTAGTAAAATTAGTAGGATGAGCAGTTGTTGTCATGCTTTTATTCCAATGACAACTGTAAATGAATTCTAAGGCTTTGTTCACATAGAATTTGTCTATAATATTCAGAGAGGCGGGCAGCTGACTGAGCACAAGAACAGCAAATCTTAGGAAGAGGAGGAGGCAGAAAGAAGGAAAACAGATTTTCCCTTCCATTCTGGGTATGTACATCTCTACTTGAGATAAAGCAGCATAGCACCTGTTACCTTATCTTATCAATATACAGCTATCATGATATTTTCTTAATTTGCATTCTTCATTCTTACCTGAAAAATTTAATTTTAAAGAAATCATTCACAAATGTTCCCTGGGCTCAGTAGCCAGTTGCTTCTAGTAGCCAATGAAACTAGACTTTCTCACTTTCTATATATTTTATTTCCTTCATCCACATATTCCCTTCCAATAGACTATTTTAAAATAATGCTTACAGCCTAAGATCTGTGATACAAGAAGGAAAAGAAAAAAGCAAATTCATGTTCCAACTTTTTCATAATACATCATCATGGACTGGGCATCATGCGGGTGGGGTGGGCTGGGGAAACCCAGGCAGATGGGTGGGGTATAAATAATAAATTATTATTATTATTATGGGCAGCCAAATGGCAATTGGGCCCAGCTGAGCCAGTGGAGAGGTCCTTGCATAAGGAGCTGCCTTATAACACATTGCACCATTGGTCATTCTAGCTCAGTATTGTCTACACTGACTGGAAGTGGGTTTCCCTTGTTTCAGACAAGAATATTTCCCATACCCACTTGGAGATGCTGGGGATTGACTTTGGGCTTTTCTGCAGGCAAATCATGCACTCTGCTGCAGAGCTATAGTCTTTCTCGGTGTTTCACCTCTTGCTCTGATGCAGGAAGATTGAAGAACTGCTGACATTCTGTAGCAGCAAAGGAAGTCTGACAACAATCTCACCCCTCCAATCTGTGACTGTTACTGCATTTTCTTACAAGGCACAGTTGTATTGGCTGAGTGAGCTTCGGAACAGATTTAGGATAGGTTTAAAGCTTGAAACCCACCAAGCCAAATGCAGCCTAACCTTGCACTGTGGTCTGCTAATTGCTTGAAGGTTCCCAGTGTCTACATCAAAAATGGCATTTTCTAGGCCCAGCGAGAAGGTGTGTGCAGGAAGTGTATATGTGTACAGTACGCACATACCTATTTGGAGGACCTAGTAATATGAGAGTGCTGTCTCTGAAATATAACGATCAAATTCTACCTTTGGAAATAGACAAAGTGGTAGTCTAATGCCCTGTGAAAACCAAGGAATCCATTTTGCACTGGAAGTTGACTGATACTGTCTACTGGTAATTATGGCAATGTATATGCAGTGTTTCTGGTTATCTCTGTTCTTGATCAATGCCACATTCAGCTCCTTCAGGGCAACTTGGAATAGATTTAATCGTGCCTAGATTTTCTTATTTTACTCATGTCATAAAATGCATATATTGCTTGATTGTAAAAACTCGACGTGGTTTATAAAGAGAAAAAAGTGAAAAGCAAATATTTAAATAATTCAAAAAATTAGTATCAGCAATAAACAAAAAATAGATGCACATGCCATCTCAATTGGGGGGCAAAACGGAAATGGCCTTTTTGCAGTGGCCCCACATTTCTGGAATACTTTACCAGCTGTGCTTTGGTAGACCCTGTCACTTCAAGATTTTATGATAATCCTTGCTTATGTGTGCTTTTTTCAACTGTATTCTTGCTTTTTTAAAATAGTTTTTAAAAATATTATTTGGGCTGGTTGGTTTATTTTCCCTGACTTCTAATTATTGTATTGTATTGCATTTGAACTTTACAGCATCTTGGGTCCTTTTTTAAACCTTAATGGTGGCATACAAATATTTTAAAGGAGGGAAAAAATCATGCTTATGCACATGGCCCGTTGGTGGTGCTGTTAACCAAGGTTTCCACTCCTATGCCTCTTACACTGCAATTCTGATTAGAATCACACACTTTCTTCCCTGCCACAGTTGCCTAACGTATAATCACAGCAAGACACGAACGCCCTTCCAAACACTGAAAGTCTGCATTAAACATGAAAGTGTGCATTAAACATGAACCAGCCCTACTGAGTAAAGATTCCTCTTTAAGCAAATATATGTTTCCCCACTATATTACTGTGCTATTGGTCTTTCTTCCTCAATTTCCTCGTTTAACTAGATTTCAGATACTGGGAAATTAGAACAACAGCACTAAGGGGCACAGAATGTTGCTCTACCTGTATGCCAGGAACACAATTTTTCACTAGGCTATACTTAACATGATTATGTTATGAGAGGCCAGCTATACTGAGAGGTCAGTATATTTGGCCCATAGACCAGAAGTTTTCTTCCATTGCTGTAGACTACATTTGGAGCAAGATTTGGAAGCACTTGGCCACAGCAGTCTGAGTGTGCTCCAGTAGGCCTCTCTTGTTAAAGAATAATAATAATTTTAATAATGTTTATAAAATTTATATCCTGCCCACCTTGCCAGGTTTCCCCAGCATCTCTGGGAACTTACAACATAAATAAAAGCACAACAAAGCATCAAACATTAAAAAACAAAATAGCCTATACAAGCAGCAAACAAACCAATAAATCAATGGAAACCAATAATAATAACAACAATAATAACAGTAATAAACACTTTACAGTTATACCCAAATTAAGATAATCGCCAACCCCAACTAAACGTTTAACCAACATCAACATCAATAAACAGATGACTCTCTGGGCCGAATTATAAAGCATATTATCATAAATGTGCAGCTACTGTCCAAAATGGTGCCCATGCAACTTGTTCATAACTTTTACTCAGTAGTCCCAGCATCAGGATGATCTTCTAGAAGATCTTATCTGATGCATTCTTCAATTCCCCATCCCCACTATACATGATTGCTGTTGCTTGGAAGGGAAGGGAGGGAGGTGTCAGGTGTCAGGGAATCTGACCCCCCCCCCCCACGGTAGGCTGCCAGGAATAGATAAGACAGGGAAAGTTCTTACCAATGTCTTTTATTCCATATTCACAGAGAGAGGCTTAGACATGCAGCCTCTTGGAGTAATGGTGTTGCTCCAAGTAATTCACCCCCCCTCCACTTCCTCAATCGTCAACAGCACCACCCACCTTATTGTGGCCATTTAGGGTCATTTGTCTCCAAGCCCTTTGCTCTCCTACTTTCAATGCCCACCGGGTTCTGGGAGAGGGGGCCAGGTCTGGAATGCTAATGTGTCAGCCAGCTGCTCCGGCTCTGCCTCCTCCTCCTCTCCCATTATTTCCCAACTTTGCCCTTCATCTGCCTCTGTGCTATGACCTCCCACAAACCACTATTGTAAATCTATACTGTTTTCCTCTTCTCTGGAAGGTTCAGGCTGGGGAGGTGGTCTCCACCACTCCTCCTCTGTCCTGTCTCTGACATGACGTGAAACGAGTTCTGTTAAAAGTTATAGAGGAAGAAAAGGAACTAGATGAGAAGACACTACATCTTCACTGTCCCTAAAGTTTTGCACTGTTCAGTTCAAGTGCTATGTAGTTGGACTTTCTCCCCTTAATATAACTTTCTAAAAAACTTAGGCCTTTTCCAACTCACACACCTTTGTACCTGAAAACCTATTCACTCTGGTGGTTGAAAGTGACAAGATTTGTACAAGTTCCCCCCTTCTAATAACTGGTTTTAGGCTTTCTAATCATTGAACATTACTAAGAAATTAGATTATTCAGCCATTATTGGTCTAAATGCACTGAGTACCATCAGATTTTGTTTTCCTTTAACTAAATAAAACTTTATTATTATAATAAATAAGCCTGCCTAATATGTCATATCATCTAGCCTTCAGGGCTGTATCCAAGTTCATCAAGAGGAATCAGACTAGATGAAAATTTTCTACCCTTGAGGCTTCTGAATGAAAAGAGGAACTAAAATGAGATACGAACGTTAATGGAGACTCATCAGCATCAGAATAAACTCAAAAATAGACATGACGTCTTGCATTTGCATAACGCTGTCAGCTGCTACTATAGAGACAGGGATCTATTACCTCTGTTTATGCTGCTGCTAACATAATTTATAGCAATTTATTCTATAAAAGTAGATTGTAACTGTGTTGGCTGGGAGGGGAAAAAGAAATCACCTTAGCTGCTCTGAAAATAAAAATGGTAATGTGTATAATAGATTTCTGATAAAGTAATTTGAATGGTGAGCTAATATCTAGGCTTGGCTAAATGCATTTTAGTGAACCTCATCACAACCCAGCAGCTAATCTAGATGCATTTATAGATAGAAAGATAATTCCGTCTCCTGACCCATGCAACTTTTGTTGAATGGGACATGATATCATTCCACCCACAATAGCATATTCTCTAGAATTCCGGAGAGCAGCTCACATCTGAAGAAAGAGAAAGTGCTAGGACAGAGTCAAGTTTCGTTTCATTTCATGTATGCCAGCTATAAAACAAACTTCATTCTTATGCATTTACACAGTTGTTGAAGCACGATTCAAACTGCCTTAGAGGTTAGGTGCTACTGGGAGCTATCCAGGGTGCTGCCCACTATACTTGTTCACCTTTTGGTCTTTTACATTTGCTTTCCTTGGCCTTTCTTATCTGGGCCTGCCTTTTGCTTTGCTTGACCTTGTCTTGCTGAAGCCTGGCCTTTGCTTGACTTTGCTTTCTGGATCCTGAAATAGTGGTATGTGACCTGGTGCCCCAAGATTACGGACTCAGATATACAGCTGCAAATAAAATGTTTTAAGTGTGTTCTAATATAAGGAACACGGGTGGCGCTGTGGGTTAAACCACAGAGCCTAGGACTTGCCGATCAGAAGGTCGGTGGTTTGAATCCCCGCGACGGGGTGAGCTCCCGTTGCTCGGTCCCTGCTCCTGCCAACCTAGCAGTTCAAAAGCCCATCAAAGTGCAAGTAAATAAATAGGTACTGCTCTGGCAGGAAGGTAAACGGCATTTCCATGCGCTGCTCTGGTTCGCCAGAAGCGGCTTAGTCATGCTGGCCACATGACCCAGAAGCTGTACACCGGCTCCCTCGGCCAATAAAGCGAGATGAGCTCCGCAACCCCAGAGTAATACGCGACTGGACCTAATGGTCAGGGGTCCCTTTACCTTTACCTTTAAGTGCAATATACCATGTGGCATTAGATGGTGATGGTGAGCCTTAGGGAAATTTAATATATTTTAAAAAACGCTTTAAAAAACAACAAACCCATTTACAGAATAGGTTTTTTTTAATATGTGTGTAGATTCCACTTGAGTCTACTACATGCTCCCACTTGGGCTGGAATCCTGTCCCACGGGTGGGACCACTTCTGGGGCAGAATGCTAACTAGTTTCCAAAAGCTCATTTACCGTGATGCAGTTAGACTCCTCAGAGATCTGGGATTGGCTGCACCTCTAGTTAACAAGTTAGTGGCTAACCTGAATTTGTTGCCATG